GGGGGGCGGCAATCCGAAGTCGAAGTCAGAAGTTCGAACGTTTGTTTGACGATTTGTACACAACACGTGCAGCACATGACTCCCAGCGATGATTTTTTTTACCCAGATCTGATTTTTAACCTCTTCTGGTTTACGTCTCGGACAAATTAAGGGCCAGTCTCATGGATAATTTTCAAATTCAATGATGAAAGAATATCTCTCAAAATAATGAGCTGGACTCGATCAAATTTGGTACACGTATTCATTAGGATCTAACGATGATGTTTAGCTCGTGAAATTTTTTTGAGTTTTTCCTTCATTTGTTTTTGCCATACTTATATGGCTATACGGGCCGAAATTCACAGTGATCAAGGAATTTCTTACAAACTACTGAACAGATTCGAACGAAATTTTGAATTTACAGTCCCAACTACCAAACGGTAATGCTTAACTCGTGAAAATTTTTTTCGATTGTGCCTCCGTTTGCGAGTTTTTTTTCATTTCACCTTCATTCGTGATTTAAACAGCAATACGTGCCTTTATTTGCAATAATCAAGAAATTTCTTCCAAACTACTGTTGAAATCTGAACGAAATTTAGTATTTAAATACCTAACCTCAGCAACGGTGATGGCTAGCTCGTTACAATTTTTTCCGATTTTGCCTTCGTTTGCGAGTTGTACGTCTATACGTATACGGCTCTTGGTTAAACCGGCCGGTAGAAAAGCCGGTCGTTTCTCCTATATCTGTATAACTCGCGAACGAAAGCAAAATAGAAAAATTGTCACATTCTTAACGTCACCGTTGGGAGGTTAAGCATTTATATACAAAGTTTTGTTGAAATCTGTTCAGTAGTTTGGAAGAAATTTCTTGATCGCCGCGAATTTAAGCGACAAATTACCCGGCGATACGTACGGGCCGAATATAAAGAAGTGTGAAATCAAGATTGACGGTGAAATGGAGAAAAACTCGCAAATGAAGGTCAAAACAACAAAAAATTTTAAAGCTAAATAAATCACCGTTTGGTATAGGAATGTATATTCAAAATTTCGTTCAAATCTGTTTCGTAGTTTGGAAGAAATTCTTTGATCACTGCAAATTTCGGCCTGTATCGCAATATAACTCATGAAGGAATGTGAAATTCAACAAATTTTCGCGAGCTAAACATCACCGTTAGGTTCGGATGAATACATGTTCCAAGTTTCACTGAGCTGCGTTCATTAGTTTGGGAGATATTACTTGATAATTGAATTTGGAGATTGGTCATGAGACCGGCCACGAGTCCGGCTGTAAATTTGCCCGAGACGTCCTAGGTTTCTAGTGCTGAAACAGTTAATAGAGCTGAAAAACATATTGGTTTACTAAATGGGGTTCTATTTGTGATATACACATTAGTGTTTAACTTTTATATTTTAAAATTGTGCCTGGAGGGCATATTTTAATTTAAAAAAAGGGGCATATGTTTTTATATGTGTCTGTGGGGGGCGCTTGAAATTCACTAGGGAGACGAAGGGGCGCCAGCCTGAAAAAGTTTGGGAACCACTGCTGTAAATTGAGAGGTTGAGATTGTATTGACATTTTAGGCAATTAGAAAGATTTTCCACCCTAATACGAGTATGCTAATTAAAATATTTAATTTCAATCTTCAAATAAGTGAATTTAATACTAGGAACAAGACAATTACAATTATAAGAGTATACTATATAAAATAATTATATGCAGTGAATGGATAAAAAATATTTGAATTGTGCTCATATTTATTTCGAACAGTGTTAGATTTTCTCATAACTTAAGTCTCGTTTCAAGTCGTTTAAGGTTTGGTTATCGTTCAGTTTATGTTTAGTATTGGTTTATTGGTCCTAATTAAATGGGAACAGTGCAGTCAGTCACTACTAGTCGGTGTGTACAGAGGGTAGAGTCTGGTAGATTTATAGGACATAAAACTAGTAGATCTATTGATAGTGTTGTGCACTGTGCTATCAGCTACCTATCTGTTATGTGACTCTTCAATGTTTAGAAGATCTGCATTCCTGAAGTGTTTTTGTATACTGAAGCCAGTTAAATGGTCAATATTTAGCTCATTACCTTGCTCCATACAAACTTTACAAAGCTAATGAATAGACTAATCAATAATTGTTTACCCGAAAATCCCTAAGTGGTTAACACCACCTTGGCCTGTTGGCCATTATTGAAGGCAATAAGTGCCCTTTTTAGCCATCCATTATGATCCATATACTGTTATTGTTAGTAGGCTAATTGCAACATAAAAAAATAACACTTCAAAAAGACAAAAAAGTTGAAAAAATCAAAAAAATTGAATAAATCAAAAAATCATGAAAAAATAAAAAAATCATTGATTTTTGATTTTTTTTATTTAAAAAAAAATCAAAAAAATCGCCAACCCTGGTCGCCGGCCATTTTAAAGATGCGTCGCCAGGTAATTTTTAATGAAAAGCAATTTATGCTGAGTAATGACAAACTATTTACAAGCCACGAACTTATTACAAGGTTGCATGCACGTGTTACCCCAAATAACTAATTTTACCCTAAAAACAGTCCGGTTGTACAGCAAGTGTAAACTGAACAAGTAATAAAGCAGTCTGACCGCTCTAATGCGACCGAAACTACGCAATCGAAAAAATGTTGTTTACATTTTTTGCTGGAACTCATCGCAACTGATTTGCGGACAAGCTTCGCTGCATCGTAATCCATCCAACGTACCGGAAACCTTACTTTTTTCTAAATAGTTGGCTGAAGACTGAGAAATATATTAAATGCAAGAATTTCAATCTAAATCTGTCGGCAAGATCTTCTGAAGGCGAAAATAGAGTATAGACCTGTATTTTGCATGTTTCAATTTAAGTTTAACCTATCTAGTAAAAAATGGCATTGTTTCGAAATATAAAAAGGTGGTCAAAGTTATCCCATTTTACGGTATTACAGTCATTCTAGAAAATCAGGCAGTAGCCACCATTTAATGCCACCAATCCATGGTTGGTACAGAGGGTGGATGCAGCGTCACCAATATATGGGTTTTTAGGCTCTAAGCGTCGCCGGGTAATTTTAAGATGTGTCGCTGGCTAATTTTTAATGAAAAGCCATTTACGCTGAGTAATGAAAAAATATTCACAAGCCACAAACTTATTTACAAGGTTGCATGCACGTGTTACCCCAAATAAATAATTTTACCCTAAAAACAGTCCGATTGTACAGCAAGTGTGAAGTGTCAACTGAACATGTGATAATGCAGTCTGACCACTCTAATGTGACCTCAACTACGTAATCGTAAACTTGATGTTTACATTTTTTTGGTGGGAACTCATCACAACTGATTTCCGGACAAGCTTCACTGCATACTGATCAATCCAACATACCGGAAACCTTACTTTTTAAATAGTTGGCCAAAGACTGACAAATATATTAAATGAAAGAATTTCAATCTAAATGTGTCGGCAAGATCTTCTGAAGCCTGAAGGCATAAATTTTGCTACTGAAGCGTCGCCAAAGATCTTGCAATATTCATCCACTCTCTGCACAGTGGCCACCAATGATGACATTGACGAGACATAAATGTGCATGCTTGGAATATAGCTACTTTTTTTATTATTAAGCTAAAACTAGTCTAGCAGCTGGTCCACCATGGTCAGGAGTGCCAAGTGCAAGGGAACTTATATTGTCATTTAATAAACCTGCGCAGTACGCCGTACTATGCCGGTAAGAAATGCGCCCTGCGCTGCACTCCTAAAAATCCGCATTGTGTTCTGGTTGTTCATGAGTCAACTAGATTGCTAATGCGTCAATCCAGGTAGGAAGATTCTTGCATAGATCACAATTCGAGCAGACATGAATCACACAACTAAAGAAGGCCACATTTCTTGATGTGCCATCATTGCCTTCTAATGATTGACTGGTTGCGGCAAGTAGGGTACAAACCTGTACACCAATGTCAGGACTCAGGACTAAATCCCCGACATCCTCCCGGCCAGCATAAAACTTTTACTATGAAGTAAAAGTTTATTGCAAGTTGAACATTTGGGAAGGATGGTCTTTTCATTCAGGGATTGGGTGCAAATATCTTCAATGTCGATTGGGTCTGGAATTTCCCTTATTCGACAACCATTAATCAATAGTGGTGGTGTTATTGGTTGTAAATCATTGATATCTTCTGGAAGATAAGTCAATGGACTGTCATTTATTTTTGCTTCATTTGAGCAATTATGGTTTCCAAATCTGGCTGCATTATGTTATGTCATGTATACTTTGAATGTGAAAAAAATATAATTATAATGTATAAAAGTTGTTATGTAGGTTATCATAGCACGAATCGCAGTAGAGTATCAAGATTGCAGTTCTGCCACCACCCTTCATTGAATTAACGCACTTTTTCTAAAATTCAACAATCTCTCTTCTAGCACGGTTTTCGAAATTCATTAACTGCATACAATACTCTCTGCTGTGGTGGTCGAGTTCTGGTTGACATGACATCCGTTTGCTTGTTTGATGCTTATTTTGTTAAGGTTACTTCAGATAAATTAATAATTGCCATTCCCATATTTTGGCCCCCAATGTAATGTAGCTAATGATATTGAATGGCATTATTCATACATACTTGTATCTATTAAACTTTTACATTTTAAAGATCTGATGGAAGCGGCAAGCGTCCTTAACAATACTGGGATGTAGATGAAAACATTAATGATGTAGAAGCAGGCTTCAGAAAAAATATTTAAACATGGCTATAATTAAATAAATATCATTACTTGTAGTTTAATAAACATGAAATCTCTCAATAAAAAGTTATATTTTGTTGGTCATTAAAGTTTATATTGCTACGCAAGTCAAACCAACAATAATAAAATACAAGACATGTCTGGGTAATTCTGATGCTCCGCTTATCGGATACGGAACGTATGGTAATCGCAAACTGTGGCTATTAAACACACGGAATGTTGCTATGTGAATTCAAAGAAAATTTCTTCTAAAGTAAAGTTCTAGATTTCCCATTCACCAAATTTCTGTATCAAGAAAAATTATATATTATTGAAAGATAATTAATGGCATATACTGTAGGAACTGAGTATTTTGTCTGTTCCTCAACAAACTGCTCTTGCGCGACCGATTTGATGGCTGGGATTGCATGGCACCTGCGCAAAGATAAAATATTTAGATGATTTTGCTCAAACCTATAACTTCCAAAAACTCAATATGCGTGGGAAAATCCCCCAAAAACATGCATCATCCTGAGTTCAGGGGCTGGACCGCAGGATTGGAATTTTCCTACTTGTTTCTGAAATCTTGCAGCTCTAATGTGACAAATTTTTAATACAATTGGAATCTCACTGCCTGATCCTGCACTTTTGTTAACAATTAGATACCGTAGGTAATTCATCTGGCAGAAATCTTGCAGTTCTGGAAATGGCGGGAAAGCTCTAGTTGGAGCACTGAAGCCTGAAGGTAATGTTTTCCATGCTTGGGCTGGACTCTGGAGCATTCCTGTTATTGTGATCATTGAGCTGCAAGATTTCTGCTAGATAAATTTTTTCCTGTCTCACTGACCACAAAATTGCAATATTGGGCTGCAACTCCTGCAAAATTCGGAGTTGATTTCACCTCGGTAAGCTCTATTTATTGTCCTGGGTCCTTGCTAAATTTTTTGCATAATAAAATCATGAAAATCTTACGTCTTAACCTGCTATTTTTTAAAATTTCCTAAGGACTTTGAAACAATTGTTTATACTGGTCATTTATTTTATATCCTGCCAGTTAGCCTGATTATGACCCTGTCACCCTGATATTCCAGATTAGTCTGAACTATAGTATGGTATCATCATCAAACTAAGCCAATTTTGATTTTCCTAAAATTGCAGTCAAAAATTATTGTTTCATTGGTAATTTTTTAAATCCTGTGTGAAAGTAGGCTGGCTTTCTTTTTTTTTTCACTATAGAAAATTACAAAAGGGCAATATTTGCAAAAAGAATGAATAAAATTAACCAGATTTGCTGGTTGTTTCTGCCCAATTTTTCATTTACAAACTAGAAAATTGGCCAAAACTAGCTAAAAGCGAGAAAAAAGTCCTTGTTCTTCTAAAGTTTTGCCTATTTATATGGCCTCTAGTCTTTTACCTATGCTTCTTTAATGTAATGAAAGAAAAAAAAGCACAATTGTTCTGCACTCTTTGATAATCATCTGTGATATTATTGTTTTTATTCATGATTTCAGAAAACTCTGCCCAATATTCCATATTGGCTTCAAAAGCATCCTTCAATTCTGATGTAAGGTTTATTAAGTTCATAAATTTGGCAATTGGACAAACTTAGAACATCTTGAAGTTGTTCTGAATCATGGTGGAATTCCAGGAAGTGCCTGGTTATTTAGCTCCACCCAGACAAGCAGAGCGCTCCACACTTTAGGACAGGGAAATGGCATGCTATTGAGAGTGTTAATTGTTAAGGAATTCCGAGTGATTTGGGTGCTGGAGCGCTGTAGTGCACTCATCCAGGGCGTGCCCCTACTTTTCTAGAGCATAAGCTCCTCTTTTGGACTGCACTCCTAAATTAAAGTGCAGTACATGGTCACTTAGACACTTAGAAGGCATTTAGAATGCCACCATCTTCCGATTTCTACCTGTTCTATGCAACAAAACACAGATTTACATCATGCTTTTCTCTTGCAGGTAAAAAAGAGCATTTTGAGGGTAATTTTCAAAAACAAAGAGCAAATATGTTCAATTTTTCTTAATTTTTACTAAATTAAAAGTTTACTTGTAGCTGGATGTTGGCAGCAATTTCAAGGATGTATTAAGCAGGAGATCGTAGATGTACCTCAAAATTTAACTTGCTTCAAACTTTTCAATATTTAATGCTTGCGACCAATTTTCAGGTGAAGGCAAAGTTGATAGCTGCTGGGCAACTTTCAAATGGGAAAACTATTGGAAATCACCCAACCTCTGATTCAAGTGGTACCAGCAAATCCTTGCGTGTTGCTGGAGCTGCAGGTTGTGCCAAGTCTCGACTTGGTATGTTCCACACCGAAGAAGTTGTCATCAATGATGTGTCCATGAGTGCACGCAACTATCTAACAAGAACAGCAACTCAAGAAGAGATTACAAAGGTGAGTAAAATAGAATGGTACCTTTTGGACCCTAGTATCTGTTAACTCGTGACACTTTTTGACTCCAGCACCCCATTTATACAGTTCTTGACTCCAGCTTCTCTTTACTATACTTTCCTTGACTCCAGCACCCCATTACTATACACTCCTTCAATCCAGCTCCCCATTACTATACACTCCTTCATTCCAGCTCCCCATTACTATACTCTCCTTGACTCCAGCACCCCATTACTATACTCTCCTTGACTCCAGCACCCCATTACTATACACTCTTTGACTCCAACTCCCCATTACTATACACTCCTTGACTCCAGCTCCCCATTACTATACTCCCCATTACTATACACTCCTTGACTCCAACTCCCCATTACTATACACTCCTTGACTCCAACTCCTCATTACTATACACTTCTTGACTAAAGCACCCCATTACTATACACTCCTTGACTAAAGCACCCCATTACTAAACACTCTTTGATTCCAACTCTCTATTAGTAGTGGAGACTAATTTCCAATTTGAACAAATTTGGTGAAATAATCGGGAAAAATTTTCCAGTGTGTATTTCAATTATAATTGTGATATTTTAATATATGATAAAAAACAGGAACATTGATTTTTTACAGTCAATCTCAACTTGGCAAAGTTTGGTAATTTTTTGTTGGTATGTTTGGACACTTCTCTCTGAATTAAAACCAGTTCTAGAAATTTCCTAATAATCATGAATTATTCTGCCAAGTATTTCTCGTGAAGTGTCACTAAATTTGCATTGAAATAATTTCATTGTTTGCTCAGATTCTTGGGCATCATTATTGAAGCTGAGATTTCTGGCAAAATATAAGATTAGCTCTTGACAAACCTTGGACAAATTACAATAATCTCAAGTATGGACAAAAATTTTACCCCACATATTTCAGCAGTTTTGCAAACCTGCTATCAATGGGCTCACTTTGATTGCAGATATCAGGGGCGTCTGTGTCTACCCGAGGTCGTTATCTCAGTGCTGCTGAGGTTGCTAAGTTGCCCCCTGATCCTCCGTCGAATGAGAGGCCCCTTTTCCTTCACATACAAGGAGCCAATGAGCAGGATGTAAAAGGTGCGTTCCATTTTCACAATATTTCGATCTTTTGCCGTAGTTGTTTTAAATTTATAGATATGAAAATATTTATCATAGATAAAGTGAATATAACTATCATAAAAACTCTGTCAAATCTCCAACACACCTTGTTGCTAAAAATGCTACAATCAATATCGTCACTCCTGTTTTCTTTCCAACAGTTGCTGTGGGACGTGTCATGCACATAATTCTGGAACACAATCAAGGAAATAAATCTACGACCAATAATGGGAAAAGCAGTTCAAAGTTTCATGGGCGTGGAAGAAACCATTCAAAATTTGGTACTGGGTCACGTTTCAGCCCAGCAAAACCTGGATGGGCTTCAAACCTCGAAGGAAATGCCAATGCCATCGCCGACAAGATGCAATGTCGAAAATCTGTGTATGAGAGACTAGGCACTCCTCATCCACCTTCAATAACACCGGACGTTGATCCCATGTTGGCTGGTGCTTCAAATGGCAATGACTTGGCTCTGGTCTCACAGGAAAATTTTGATCTAAGACTGAGGTTGAGACCTCCATGCTATGAACCCAATCCTCCAGTTGTGGGCAGTGCCTTGGTAGAGCCTGAGAATTCCAAAGTAACTTTTCTGGTAGCGCCTCCACCAGCTCCATTGCAGGTAAGATATTAGTCAACACATTGAACTATGTTATTATACCAACCTATTCTTCAATTTCAACAACAAAAGACTTATATTACTGCTTGCATTTTTTAATTTGTTTATTCAGGTATAACTTTTATTGTGTGCAGTTTATCCGGTCGTATTCTATTCTTTTTCCTTTCATCTGCAGTCTTTTGCATAATTCTCAATAGTTGTTTGCCACGATGGTAATAATTTTTTTCGTTTTTGCAGCGTGAGAAGGTTTTCTTGCCAGACCTTGCAGGGGTACCAGCAACGGAGGTGTTTGCAGCTCTTGCAGGAGAAAATGAAGAAAATCTTCAGTACATCCGAGAAGAAACAGGAGTCAACGTTGTGCTCAGAGGCACTGGAAGCCTTGACACCTTAACATCAACCCTCCAGCCTGAAGCTTTACACTTCTACTTAGAGTACGAAAACTATCTTATTTATTGCTCAAAATAAAGTGATGATTCTAATCATAAAATGCGCCTTTTGCTTATTTTTCAATACTCGTCCATCTCAATGAGAAATATTTTGGAATGTGCCTGCTACATATGCATTGTTTATATACACAGTAAGCAAACTGTAACGTTACCAAGCATTGCATATGCATAGTTAATTTTATGGTATTTATTCAAATAGTATACTCAATAATTTGTTTTTGTAACAGGCACACGGACATAAATCGTTTCAATAACGCCAAGTCCTTAGTGGTGAACCTCGCCCAGACTGTCATCTCGGAACTGCAGCAGCAAGTACTGCAGAAACAAGTTCACTTGCAGGTGCATGAACAGCACCTGCAGCTGCACCAGTTGGCCCAACAGCAAATCCAGCAGCTTCGACAACAACAATTGCAAGAAGCTCAGCAGCAAGTTGAACAGCAACAACACGTTCAACAGCAACAGCAGATTCATCAAGCTGAACAGCAGCTGCAGCTTGTTCAGCAGCAACACCTGATTCAACATCAGCCGCAACACACAGCTATAGAGCAACAGCAAGTATCTCACGTCGTAGTAACCCCCACCGTAGACGCACAACACCAAACATCTCACGTGGTGTTGCACCAGGTTCAGTTCCAGCTCCCACAAGCAGAGCACCCACACCAGCAGTACAGCCAGCCTGCTCAGGAGGTCGCTTATCAGTTCACTATCGCTAACCAGCCTGCCGCCTCTTCGGTCCCTGATGTGCACACGCATGTTGAGGTCAAAGCTGAAATTACTGCCAATGCTGCAAGTGTTGAAAATTTGATACCTCAGACACTGGCTCCTGGAAATCTTCCAACTTCATCCAATTCAAGTTCATTGAATTTTTCTGCTCCTGGTATACCAGTCACATCGGCTGCTTCGAACGTGCATCAAATTCTCCGTACCACTCCCAGCCGATTTTCAGAACATCTTGACACGGCCGGCTCTTCATCTAAGCACCACTTTGCTCATCAAGAAACTGTTCGAGCCACCCACGCAATGGCTAAAGATGAATCTGTAAACACAACAGAACCTCAAATCCATTCTGCTACCTCCCAAGAATTACCTGTGGGGGCTTCTAGTTCCATCGAGCATCAAAGTCATGGATCGGGATTGGAAACTACACAGACGGCTACTACTGAACATGAATCAGCAACTGCAAATGAATTGCCTTCAAGTGAAGCTCAGCGCATGGCCTGCTCTTCTAGTTTAGCTCATACTGTTTCATCATTCGCTCCCTCCATGGTATCGCAACCTTCAGTAGCGATTCCTTATTATGTTTCTGTCCCTTCTTATCCACCTCCAACCCCTTCTGTTGCCACCTATGATGCGTCGCAACCTCCTCCTGTATCACACCCTCCAGCCACGGTCGCTCAAGCTGCTGTTGTACCATCAGCTTCCTATGCAACCATCTCTGTTGCTTCCTATGCTGCGGCACCTGCTGCCTCCTATGCTGCGACACCTGCTGCCTCCTATGCTGCGACACCTGCTGCCTCCTATGCTACAGCATCGTATGCCTCCCCTGCTACCTCACATTCATCAGCACCGGTGGTTTCTTATGCTTCAGTACCTTCAACCTCAAATGCGGCCGTGGAGCCTGCGACCCAAACCGAAGCTCCTGCTGCAAATTTCGGTACGCCGTCGGTCTCTGCATATAATCCCCATACTAGATCTTACGATGTTTCAGTCCCTCTTGTTTCATCTGCTGAAGTTTCTCAGTATCCTCCATCGACCGCCAATACAGTTGTAAATTCGCAATTCGGTCAGCAGTGTCACCTGCAGGGCCAACAAGAATCAGCACTCCACTTACAGAATGAGCATCAGGTGACAATTTTGTCTCAACCACATCAAGTGCCTTCTCAATTGCAAAGCCAGCATCATCTTGCAGTCAGCCAAGCCCAATCCCTCCAGCAAACTGGCGAACCTCGAGCTGAAATGCAGCCTCCGAACCTCTCTCATTCCCAGGTATATCCGCCTACATCGGCTCAGCAGCAGCCAGTGTCACCGTATAAAGCACAGACCCATCATCTGTCTGCTCGACAGAGTCCAAGCTCTTTGAATCAATCTCCCTATTATGTAAATCACAAGCCTCCTAGCACATCTGCGGCAGAGGAGACCCGGATAAGTTCTGCTCCTGATTATTTGCTACGGGAACAAAGAACTGATCCAAACAGAAACCACTTAGATGTAGAGCAGCGTCATTCTGGCGAACAGCAAGAAAATCGTCCAGCTCATATACATGAGCATGAGCATCTTCACTTCCAATACCCACAGCCACCAAACACGAACGACGGACACCATCATCAAATTCAACAACAGCAAGAAATGCAGCAGCAGCAGCAAATACAACAGCAACAGATACATCATCAGCAGCAGCAACTGCAACAGCCACAACATAATGTTATTTATCAAACGCACTCTCGCCCAGAGCAAGGAACTCATCAAGATTCTTATCATTTGCAACAACAAGCAGTAGATCAACATCAGTCTTACCTGCGACGAAAAGATGAGCAAGAACAAATGTTACAGGCAAGCCAGGATTTGCAAATGAAGCTGCAAACTCCAAATGAATTTGTAGACAATTCTCATAAGAATATCTACCAGGCTCATCAACCAACATCGGCTACACAGCTTGGCCAAGAGATGTATGATCCTCATAACTATCCCGAGTCTCGACAACAGAACTATGAGACGACTCCATACCAAGAGTATCAAGGCTCAACCGGGTCTGCTCACAACTCCTTACACTGGCAACAGCAGCAGCGAAACGAATTTCATTCAACAGGTACCCTTTCAGTTGTTAATGTCCCATTAGGTTTTCTTCTGGAACAAATAGCAGTAGGCCAGCAGTAGTAGTCAGTTAAATGCTTCGTTGAGCTTCATTATGAGGTAATTTGTTACTCGCACTCCCCTAAGGTATGATTTTAATTGCATTGGGTCTCTAGGGTGGCCACTAACTTTCGAGTTGGTCCATAGGAACACACAGGGTGCAGTCCAATTCTTCTTTATTCACATCACAAAAAATTAAAGTTGTTCTATTGTGCCCTCTATGTAGTAGGACTACTATACTACTCTGCCTCTTCCTCTTGCACAGCTTAGCGTCTCGCAAGTTCGCAACGCAGGGTTGAGATTTCTTTGCGGCGCAATGATATGCCGTATTATGTGGGACTCTTCTGTACCGAAAAGGCAATATGTCTAAATTAGTTTACGTGTTCTCAACTGTTTTGAAAAGTGTAAGATCGGTTGTTATTTTCGGTTGCATAATTGCTTCGGTAGGCCTCCTTGAGAAGCTTGGGTAGCTTGTAATCAAGAAACACTATTAATGAGTTATACGGTACATGCAGTTTATTTTAGTTCACTGTTGCTAGGGCAATATAAATTGCTAAACCTTCAGTGTTTCTAGCGCAACAGTGAAACCTGCCTCTCCATCTTAACAGCAGTGCTGTTAGGATGAAAAGGCAGATGAACCAGTAGAACATTGGGCAAACTCTAACAAACTGCGATTCAGCCGCGCGTAATCATAACGCAGTTTGTGCATTGCAAGTCTCGTTTGTCGAGAGCAATGAATGATATGATGAGTTACAGAATCGCATAGTACACTAGTACGATCTCGGCATTTTTCTTCCACATTCCTCCATATATCATATATAATTTCACAGATAACGGGGAATCTATCTTGACATGTAATTGTACCTTTAAATATCTTCATCTCTAACGAGGTAGCTAAAACCATCTTTTGGCCCGCTTGAGTTTCCGTACCTTATTTCCTTTTATATTGACTTTAAGGAATGATTTTAAAGTCCACATTTTTTCTGCAGATGTGGCGGGACCTCCGAAGTCGAGCGTTGGACCTGGTGGCGTCGTTGCTAGAGCACCTCCTCAGCGGCTGGTGTATGATTCAGGGTGAGGTTGCCTTCTCTCCAGCTCTGTAGGCTCACTCACAGCTGTTATCTCACCAAGCTTGGTACATGTCAGTTTCTGACTCTTGCATTAATTTATTCATTTAAGGTTTCAACGTCGCCGTGGATGCAGATGGTAAGATGGACCATGTCCTGATCAATGTACCTCAACAATTTTCAGTCCATTAATCTCATTTTTTCCCGAGATATTCAGGTTTGGATGCCTTTGAAGTCACAATAGATATCCTTGCTTAAATTAACTCTAATTTTAATTTATTAAAACTACGCTCATTCTTTAACTTTGTGCAAATAACTTTATTAGTATCATTCGCCTTCCATTCCTCCTTGTAGATGGAGGGAGGTGAAAATTTGAAACCTCTGCTTGAATACAAGCCTGAACTTTGTCCGGTGTATGGTCATGCGGGTTCTTAACATTTTCTTCTAATGTTCAAACGAAGTTGGTTGAGAAATTTTTACTATTCAAATGCACATTAATCAAGAATTAAAATGTGCTTTGCCTATTTTTTGGTTGGTATTATACGCTTCGAATCATCTTGTATAATTTTAACCAAGTGTTATCGCTGAATCAGATAGTCAAAATTATATCAAGATCAAACCTCAACAAATTTCTAATCGAGCAATTGCACCAAAGATAATCGTTCGCGCTTAACACCACAGATTCCACTCAGGAAGATCACTATCAGATATGACTCATTATTTCTTCTTGTGATACGTCATGTGAAGAGTTGAATTAATTTATGCGATCAAATTCCCGAAGAATGAAACTAGCCGAACTAGGAATGATTCTCTAAAATTCAGCTCAATATTTGTAATCCTCGGCGATTTTGCCCGTTAAAGTTACATGTATTGTACGGAAAAGTTTAATACTAGGTCGCGCGGGGTAGACTAATCATGCCTCGTGTGCGGTGACTCCTTCTCTGCAGGTATTGCAGCAACTCTGCCGCTCATGCCACCTCCACTGCCGCTCCTCTGCACTTAACAGTGGCAGAACTCAGCCAGCATCCACCCCCACCACCTCCTCCTGCACCGCCAACACCAACTCTCCGCGATTACCACCAGCCAATAATCAATCCGTTGCCAGAATTTCCGGTTCGTCAGTTGCCAGAGTATGCGGCTCGGCACGGCGATTCAATGCAAAGTAATACAGGGTGGAGCGTCTACCCAAACGCTGCTGCTGGTGCTCCCTCGCACCGAGGTTTGTGAACTAACAATTGCCCATTTCTTAATTCTGCAGGTTCCCATAAGGTGGCACCGGTTGGCGGTTTTGTGTTTTTCGTTTCTAGCACGAAAAAATGTGATAAATCTTATTTATGACCACTCTTTTTGATTCCGTGGGGAAGAGCCAAGCATAACGCTAAAGTGTTGTCTATATGTTGTATAGCAGAGGTTTGTGTACTGCCACAGCTGTGCAAAGCATCACTTTATTGCGCTCTGCAGCTGGCTATATATCAATTTCACTCACCTACAAACTCTCTACGCTAATGTTGTGCTAACTGCACCAAAAGTGTATTCTGCTTTGGCGCACTGCAATGTTATTGCTCTGAAAAATTTACCGTCGTAAGTTTTAAAAACATTGGCTTAGTATAAGAGTAAATCTATCCAGTTCTGAGAAGTTTCCGCTTTTATTTTACCGCGAATTTCGATTTTTTTCAATTATTAATCCAAGGAAACTTTTTGTTCACTTAAATATGATTTATTAAATTCCATCTGCTGTTGTTTTTAACGTAACTACCGATAACGAGACTAAAATCTCTTCAAATATCCAATCATTTTGCTGTTGAAACGTAGCAGGCGGCGCCGTAAACATTTTCAACTAACTGGACCAAATAGAGTATTACGGTATCCCTCGTAGAAGGTTTTACTGCAACTGTCGAATGACCTCTAATGTTCTTTAATTTGTCCTCTTGTCTTTTGATACTACAGGTGTGTTCCCTCTTCTTTAGCCTGAAGCTTTTCAAAATATTGAACCAGACTAATCTGGTCCGTTTTATGACTAATTCATGATCTTGGTTCCAGTTGAATAACACTGGTGTTATACGAGTTTCTAAACCGACAGGGTTGCCTTCAATATTTTTAGCATTGCTGGATTTGAAATATAGATTGCGTGTGCCCGATACATAACATTATCCGTTAGTGCAAGACTTAGAATAAATAATAACTTTTTATAAATAATAGTAACTAAATACCTATATAAATAATAACTGGATGTATTATAAACAATTGAAAAGAAATTATAAATTAATCGCATCACTTCAGTATCAGCACTTTAATCTGTAAAATGGGCAGAGCTGATGAAATATGAGCCTCTGAGCTTAACAACTTAGATTTATTGGTTTTCAACGCTCATAAGTCTGTATTTTTGGTTAATCTTTCGCTACCTCGTTAGATAAATTCTCAATAGTATTTCTTCATGAGTTTTTCTGAAATAGTTTTCTTGAGTTACTCTGACGAGGAAGCGCGACCTTTTAACTCTTGAGTGATTGAAGTCCGGATGCACTTAGAATGAACAATTTATGTGCGAGTTCATTCATTTATCATTTACATTCATCTACGAGTTCCGTAATACCTTGCTGTGCTATCGCTCGCATCTATTGACTGATTTTCAAAAAATACTCCTCGAATTGAAACAATACATTATTTATTCCTTTTTCCCCTCACTGCATCAAGGCCCACGGGGAAGAAAGTTCATCGCCTGTGTTCTCTCAGCTGCTTGTGTCTTTTATGAACCTTTCTCAGAGGCAGATTAAGCTCCTCTCGGAACTTGTTGATCCGTTAAATTTGTGCACTGCTGTTAGCGAGCGCTCATGCTCATTTTTGCAGCAATGTTTTAATTATTTACAGTCCGTGATTATTGCAATAATACGACAATATTGGTTGATATTCTGTTATTTTTCTCAGAACAGGATAAGTTGATACCGTGGTTCCGAGTAGAGCTTGATCTGCTTCCTGTCTTTTGTGTAGTGTCAAACCACAGACAATACGCAAAAATTTCTTCATATCTATTAATCGGAAATGCTGGATTGAGTTAATTTATGCAACGTGTTCTACATTTTCAGATACGACTAGCCATGTGGTCATCAGTTTTATCAGTAGTTTTTAACATATGCTAATTATTAATTCATCGAAACTTTCTTTAGGACGTCACCTCTTATTTACAGACGGGTCAGCCTTGTTTAGTAATGCGGTTCAGTGAGTCCTATGTCGAGGTTAGTATTGACGATTTGCGTTTCGAAATACAGTATCGAATTTTTACAATATTCTAATATTATTCTGTGCTTTAGGTGAGCTCCAGCGCCAACCAACCAGAGATTTTTGCCACGCTGGTAAGTTTCTATTTTAGCTGCTCTATTTTCATAACAGTCCTGTTTTGTCATTTTCGAATAATTAGAAATACTGAGAAATTGACTCAATATAAATCTTGTGTGGCTTATAATACAAATATAACTGTTTGACCAAGATATGTCTGAATTTTTGCAGTTATGTTGTATTGACAATATATTTCAAGGCCCATGTTATAACAAGCTCTAAAAGTGGCTAGACCAAGCCGTTAAGTTCAGTGACGTCACGTTATTCATCGTGTCATGTTTTAAAATACATGAATTCCTGAAAATTGACAAGCTCCTATTTTGTCCGGGCCGTGTCTGTATCGTCACTGATTTGTGCTAAAAGTTGGGATTCATCTCAATTTTTATCGGGACAAAGTTTTAGGATCGTCTCCAATGGCGGAAAAAAATACCAAGACGCAGATGCCTAACGATATTTTACAACTGTTCGTCGATATGTATCGACTGTCACATTGGCCAGGTGGCGAGAGCAATGTTTCGGGACGGCGATCTCGTATCGACGGCGGCAAGAACACACTTGAGGACCGCAGCCTAGATCAGGCCGGCGAGTCTGGCGCTACTGACGCCGACAAGGGCATCCTGAACACAGGGCGGAGGAGCGACACCACAGCCGTTGTCCGGCGATACGGCAACTACCCTTTCGGGAGCGTGGGGCCCATCAAAAGAAGACGCTTCTGACGAGTTAATCTTGTATCACTTATTTCTGTATAGTGAATTCTTTTGAATATAGCGTTGATTTAGTTATTACAGAACCCTTTCCTGAAGCTTGTTGAATAATCGCTTCTCAGTTTGTTTTAGTTCTTAACCCATGGAAAGTAGAAACGTCCATGAATGAGCCCCTTTCCGCCACTTCCCGGTAATGTTGGTGATCAAGGATTTGTGCCATTCTTGCACCAGAAGGTGAATAGACTTGTGAGAATAAGATACAAAAATTAAAAATTTTTTTTTATTCTTTCATCGTAACGCACTTTACAAAAATATATTCTAAATAACTTGGTTTCATGAGGGTGTCGCACCATACGATGGCCGGACTACTTTTTTACACTAAATTAATGTACTATTAAAAATTTCATACGGACCTGAATCACGTATGAATTCGGGCATATTGCTTCACAAATTCCACAGTATTATGCAATTCATTTTTTATGCATGCTATTGGCAAGGTCTTTTATACTTATAAAATAGGTCCTAATCTTTAGAATGTCCCAATATCTACGCACAGCATCAGTGGTGTCCTCAACATGCAACAAAACAACCTACATTTCAATCAACAAAATATATACACACCACAATTGTTATAATTTGTCATGTGGTGGCCGTCGTGTCAAACTGATGAACAGCTAAATTTCAACAGATACACGCGAGAAAATGTTCGATAAAATAGCTCGGTTATGCAAACGAAATAGAGTTCAGTTCCTATTAGTTAATTCATCATCACTATTTTCTGCTACAATCGTTTTGGGAAGTTAATCATCGAGAGACCAATGATCAATGAAAACCCTTCTACAGATGCTGATACGAAAAGAACGTGACACACTAGCACACAACTTCTTCGTATACATTATTACAGTATTTGATGACGAGTTTGCAGGGATGGAGAATGAATTGAGGTAGAGAACGTCATATGCGCGCCTTTTTCGCTGGAGGATCATCATCACTTGGCGTCATCTAATGGAAAATATACCGTTTACTGTCGGACAGAAAATAAAATTAGCTAATGATTTCAGCACAAACAATTGAGAACACGAGTGGAGTTATGAAAACACAATTGAATTTTAAGAATGCTTTAGGTAGAACCTTTGTACTGAAAATAATTGGTAGTCATTTAATAATAAGAAGTATACTTGAAGATTGTAGTATTTTAAAGCGATGAAGCTAGTTTTTACGACTCAATCATGAAATGCACCAAAGCTGGGCTGCAGTAGGATGCTGTTCAACACGTCTAAAATCATTTTTCAACAAGATGCTGTTGAATCAATAAAATAAGCCCGTTGCTCACCGGACGCGCTCGTTGTGCTGAGGTCACTTCAGCGTCGTACTGACGTAGCTGCTCCAGCAGCTCGGGCGTGATCGTCAGGCAGAACCTATGAGCAGCGACCTTCTGCACCGCCTCTCTAGAAATATTATTACAATTTAATTATATAATATTTAAATTCATCAACTGAAGCTTTGCAGGTGTCATAATTATAACATATTCAAATCATTTGTACTTTAACTGATGCACTGCAAAAATTATCAAAATTATTATCCTGGTTAACGAATTTGCCATTAAATAGATAGGGACTTTTAGGCTGTTTTGTGAATATAATTGAGAGACAAAGAGAAATGTAAGGAATCCTGCATACACAACAACTTAATCCTACCAATTACACCCTCGGTGAGACATCGCGAGCTCTATGGTGGGACGTTCAGAAACAATGAACTTAGGTACGCGAAATCCCATTAGACTTCGGACGAGTGCAGGCACACATCAGAAGACTGACCTGAGAGCCTTCAAGTTTTAAAATTTCATGCTTATTCACAATATCAGAAAATATGTTGATCTTCACAATTCACTAAACATACACGGCTGGGATGTGCACTGCCTAAAGCCACTACATAGACAGTACATTGATCCAACATACACGGCTGAGATGTGCACTGCCTAAAGCCACTACATAGACAGCACATTGATCCAACATACACGGCTGGGATGTGCATGTCAAACATGATGAAGGCAACGGCGATGGCAGCGCTGCGGCAGGCGCCAGAGAAGCCCTGCACCAAACACCGGCCTTCACCTTCCCGACAACTCGATATGAAGGCGAGGCTCTGCGGCAACACTGAAGAGAGAGGCGTGCTCTCCGTCATCTCTACCTCCATGTACCTGAAATAGGAATATTTAATTACTACGGTTATATTACACTAAAAATATTATACATCTTGACTAACAAGACCACCCGCTCAATTTGAGTTGCACGAAATGTAGCAGGTTGGCAAAAATTGCGCATATTTTTAATGAGAATATCTAATTCAGTATATCTCAGGTACACTTCAATGCCGGTGCATTTTATTAGGATGAATGAAAAATATGCGTCCAAGAATTTCAGATCCATAAACGACACACCGATCTACCCAACATAATTTAACCTAACCAAGATGTAACCACCACAACGATCACACCGTGAACAGCACACCCGTCACATCGTAACCAACACACCCGTAACACCGTGACCAACACACCCGTCGCATCGGAAGCACCACACCCATCACATCACATCGAAACCTAAAAAAAAAAAATCATCAAATCTTATATTTCCACTCACGTAAAAAGCTGTGGGAACTTTGGTCGCATGACGCTGGCCTCTACGTCTGAGCGCACGCACAGAACGTGCGTAATGCCGGCCGTCTCCAGCTCCGGCAGCTGCAAGTATAGAAGTAGTATAGTATAGCAGTCCTTGATAAGCCCGTTAGACCTGTTGCAGGATCTTATCATTGCAGAAAATTCACAGCTTGTTGCGGTCTGGAACACACAACTCACTACACCAATGTTGCTGTGCATAACAACCCGGCCTACTCGCCGGTACGACCAGAACTGGCGCAGGTAGCTGGGATCGAGCCCACAGCTCACTGCTCCAATCAATGTACTCTTAACTGTACCCACTGAGCTATTAAATCTTGATGCTCACTAAACATGACTCAAAAGAAAACTCAATGGGTCACGAGAAAAAAAAATTATGAGACGTTATCAATAGGTTCTTACACTGAAAACACATTCATGAAGTTCACAAGGAATCAAGCATTTCATAATAACCTCAATGGGAGTTTCCTGCATTAGTTGGGTGCATCATGCATTAATGGGGAGTCTCAGCAAGAAGGCTTTAAGATGCAGTGTAGAGCGTTAGCTGAAGTGCTCCCGATACATCAGCCTCTCAGAGCATCAATCACATGAACAAAATACACAATAATCCCGACAAGACACATAAACCGACCTTAGCTTCACACATCGCACTGAGAGGCTTCACGGCAGAGTACCCTAACAGTGACATAAACCTTAATATAACAGATTAAAATAATCACAAAACACGAACACCAACCTTGGCCTCACACACGGCGCTGAGGGGACCCAAATAGAGGCCCGGGTAGACCTCCTGCATGTGGCGGCGCATGTTGTAGCGCCACTCTATCTCAGGCACCATCGCGTCGCCCAGCCGCTCGGCGCTACTCCTAACAACTCACACTAGAACATTTGTTGCTACTATTTCATTTCACCAGTGATCGTAATAGAACTGAAAGAATAAAACTATTAGGATAATAGCTATCAATTGTGACCGGATGTGTTCAAAGCGGAAAAAAGCGCGATTGCAGAGCAAAGTGCGAAAAATTGTTGGTAATGTTCCATAAAAATAACAGTTTAAGTCACTTTTCATGGACTGTGGACGGTCATAGGCATGGATCAGATACTAGAATTCTGTTACCGATAGTTCAGCAAACGTAATGTTCCAGGTAACGATCACCTACAGGGTTACGGTTACGGATGGCATCTCAAGAAAATTAAAAGAGCAGAAAATAATATCGCTGGACACATATTTTCTTTGTTACTTGAAAATTAAAATTTATTATTCTAAAGAGAAATCAATAAATTAATCTTTCTAATAACCTCCGCATCTCTAAAAACTTTTCCTTACTGAGCTAAGAATTTTGTTTGTTAGAAGGAGAAATGTAATCAAATATCGCAACGGCTCCCGAATGCGAATTACGACTCCTTAACTTTGTAATCACAATCAAATAAATATGCCTATGAACTCATCAATCGTTTAGAGAATTAAAGGGTCAAGTATTACCGATGGGTGCTCATCAAAGAGGAAAATTAGCCACCATCAAAAAGTTCGTTAGTCGGCACGCCACATGAAAGCGATATTAGATAAATTAAAATATATTTTTAGAACAGAGCGGAAGTTCGTATCGAAGATACGACCGGTTGAAGGCGGTATCAGGGCAATTAAAACATTTATAACGGAGTGATAATTCCTCTCAAATATACGAGAACGACCGTCTGGGGATGGGACCGAACTTGTATCAAGATCCACGCTAAGCACTCGGGACCGGGGGAATGCCTCACCTCCCCTGGCAGGAGCCTCGGCCCCCACCCCCTGCGGACTGCATTACATTAAAACTTCACAATTTATAACGGTTTGTTTAACTAAAGCGTAATAATTCCAATCGCCCCGTATCTTCTTCAACGAGTGTTAATGTTAACACAAATTTCTCCTAAAAGTCCGTTGGATCTATGGGCACTGCAAAACAATATGCAAATTATTATTCATCAAGTTATTGGCCTGTAATTAACATTTTAAATCAATGAAACAAAAAGCACTCGGTTTGCCACAGAAATAATCCTAATTATGCTAAGCATTGCTCAGTATTCCACAGCAGCAGTACTCATAAATAAATCTAGGCCAGAGTAAACAAGAGTTCCACGGCGAGTGGGAAATCCGGGGCCATATCATCACTAATCATTTATATAGTTCGTGCCTTGTAAGCCAATCACTGACGACTCTTCAAGCTAAACCCACCAAACACTGACGACAGATCAGCCGCTAGGTTTACTTAGCCCACTACGTGTACTTTAGCGAGTGCGCCCCCTGGATATCAATAAAAAATATAACTCAGTACTCACGGCAGTGAGTGACAGAGAGCGCATTTTCTCGTCGACGAAAACTTGGTCACGGATAGACGGACGGACAGGCAGACAGACAGACGGACATGGCGAACACTATAGTGTATTTTTTCCATAAATGAGAAAATGCGCTAAAAATAAATTTTCGTTATGTAATCAGGTGAAGAAAAAGTCAGGAAGCAAATGCTACATGTACTTGAGGCCGCTACAGCAGAACACGACATGCCATCGCATAATTCCAAGTTCTCATCAATCTTCGTAACAATGGTTATTCATCGCGATAATTTAACAGATAATGAATAATTTTATTAAAATCAACGAATTTTGTTCGTAATCAGATATAAGATTATATTCAACATTTAAACAATAGATTAATCAAGAAGTGATTTCAGCAGCTTCAGGTCGGTACAAATGTGAATTGCGCCAATTGAAATCCATAAAACGGATCAATTTTTGACCAGCGGCATCTAATGTTTGGTCGTGATGGACCAAATTTGAATATGTACACAACTTTTCGTTTCCTACTTAGAAAAACTAATTTTTGGCCCTTGGTGAGCTTCATCGCCGCCAACGGGTTGCGTTGCTCAACAGCAGATTGTGTAAGAAACTTGCTTATCATTCACATTGCAACTTCAGTCATCTTATATACAAAACGGGGTCGTTAAATCACGACCATATGTGAGAATAAAGTTCTTTATTTACCGAAACTTAATGAGCTTCGAGCCAAAGAAAATCACCTGACTTGCACGGGAGATCATACGTAAGGGCTAGACTTACTTGCTAGTTTATGATTACAACGTTCAACACGAAACTAAATCAAGTAACTAGCCGTACACTTTTCGGGTATATTGACACGTCACAAATATACTCACGTTTGTGTTTGTGGTACAACTCGTGCTCCATCAACAAATGAAGACATTGCAAGATCGTTTCTTCAACTCAGAGGTTAAGAAAATGAAATAATCTGTAAAATATTACAAGAAGATATATAGAACCGAAGCAATGATAGTCGATTCCGTATATGGCATTTTAATAGTTTGACAATGCATCGACACAACGAGAATATTATTTCTTTTTTCTATGAAATAGCACAGGAAGTGAAAAATTTTAGGATAAGACACGCAAAATATTTCATTAATCTCCAGCGCGCATGACAATCATACACCGAGTGAAATGCAAGAAAGGCTCTCTGTGACTGAAAGCCCACCTCCTCATACGAGTCTACCAAACTCCTTCAACCAAAACCAACTTGTGAGCGTCACCGACCATTGGCAGTTTTTCAAGAACTGCAAAAACTGCCCTGGCGTCAGCAAATCTTTTCCTTAAATATTTTCAATATTAAATTAATTCAGGTCGCATTTCATTACCGTGGCGTCCGTTTATATGGTTTTGATGCCAAGAGGTGAGAGCAGCAAAACTTGAGTTGAGCCTGGGCGATGATCACACGGAAGTATATAATATCCATAGAGCGACGTTATTGCAGTAATGAAAGCACACAAATCCAGTGGATCAGCACAAGCAAGAATCCTTTTACAATCTTCAGACTTCAAGTCACCAGAAGAATCAATTTCATTTGAGCATATTTAAAACATAAGTATCAGCTGAGTAATTAATACAAATAATAAAATAGATTAACCATTACGATTTCTCATGTCGAAGCGGAACGGCCAACGATTTTCCGGCTCATGCACTGCCGGAGAGCGCGATTTGTTACCGCGCTAATGACGCGTGGCACCCACAAATGCAAGTCTCGTACCAGCGCTCACTGAACCCCGTCGTACTAGTGTTATAAAATTTGGACCAATCCATGAATGTGCAACTCGATACTTTACATTGTTGTAGAAAGAAGTATTTGATGAGCAGGCCAGTCCTGTATAAACCGTAAACGAGGTAACTTGGATCGTTTTGACATTTACGAAAATAAAACCCTGCACTCGAAAAAATTCTTGCCTTGGAAAAAATGGTGTTGATGGCTTTTGAGACACCACGAGATTACCTACAAATGCAATAGAGAGATGTTTAATACATCTGCTATGTGACATTTTGTATCACATAAGATATTAGATAAGCGCTAAAAATGGTCCAAGTCATGCCGTCAACGATCCTAGTCACCCCACCCCCGATCCTAGTTATAGTAGCATTCGTCGACCCGTAGAACCACCACTTCACTCGCTAAGCTTCAGATGCAACACCAAAGTATAGCAAGTATATATCTATATATAATACAAGTAACATTACAAAGTAACAATAGAGAAATGACGGGCAATGAAAAATATTTCGGAGTTCAAATTGTATAGATAGGTAATCTTATACGGCTCTGTAAATAATTACGAAATCGAAGCTTTCGCTTTGAATTGCAAGACAGGCGATAACTTTTAACACAGGGTTTGACACCAAACGTTGAGTCTAACTAACAACTATACGACGACCAATTACGACACTAGTTCACAAAACCTGGTTAAGTGGTTCACAAATCCTCGCTTAGCAACGAAAAGCTAAGTAGCCATTATACCTCTTCTCGACCATCGTCGTCAAATGAAAATTCATAAGACACAACATTCGTACCTAAAAGATAAAAAAAATTCTAATAAAAAATAATTAAGTTTACAGTAATATTTTTCTGCACTGTAATCCCAACAATTAAGTTGCCCACATTGCTCCCTAAACCTTGTCGTTCAGCAAAAGTTCGAATGTACCTACACCATAGGTACAATTGTAACGTAAAATTCTGCGGCCTGACGAGAGTTACGTGAGTAACGCAATTAACGGAAAAAGTGCAGGAAAGCTGACCGTGGTCATGGACAGCTGGAAGAGCGTCTTGTTCGAACATCACGCCACAGATTACCTGTGTTGACAAGTCTTACAGCAACGCAGTCATTTAACATACGGCGGGCGCTCAACCTCAAATATTTTTCTCATTAACCTAATCTGTTTTCATTTGTCAACAGCCGCTTAGAGTCCAAGAATATTAAAATCCGTAAACATCAGAAAGATAAGCGCGATAAGCTCAAGGATCAAGTGATCGTATATAAAAAGCTAAGAGTTGAGAGAAGTTCACAATGACAAAAATTATACAATAGGAAGCAGGTACAATAAGACCATCACACTCGCGAAACAAGAATTGCACGTTAAACATAATCGACAGGAATCAGAATCATTAAGCCTTATTACCGAAAAATCTTATCGTGAGAAATAAAATGTACAGGATAATCATCTATCAGATCGCAACAGGTTTGGCCATCAACAGGCTTCAGAAGCACAGAAATGCAAGTTATACTTTGAACGATGATTTAACACGACGCTAATTACACGTAAGGTTAACAGTTACATATTGGACTTGCCAACACGTTTATGTTCATCATACATGACGGCATATCTTATGTCTAACAGTTTAGTGCACAGCACAGTCGAATTTGATTCTAGACTTTGTGTAAGAAGTTGTAGCGAAGTATGAATCGACTTCAAAGACATTCACATGAGCAAAGTTGGTTAATTTCTGGAGGACCACGTCGAACAACGAAAAATTTTTTGGAATATCTTTGATTCCATTTAAAATAAGCTTTTACTAACGGAATCATTCAATGAAAAAGAAAGTAATATGCACAGACATATAATTTAATTATTTTCTATGAATCACCAAGATATTAATGACAAAGTATAAGACAATTGGAACTCGGCAAGCAACTCAGAAAATACAGGAAAAATCCACACAAAATGAAAGTTTGGCAGATCTAAGGCGTCTGTGACCTCAAGGAGGGCGAAAATAAAGGCCGGATCATTGGTGAAAAATAATGTGGACAATCGATTACGAAATAATAAGATTGCCTAGCATTTTAAAATCAATAGGGAAATTTGTATAAGCGATACTAAAGCGAAGTGGATTAACTACAGGTGATAGGGGGTGCGCGATAAAATTATATACCATGTATCTACTCTGTACAGCAAGACTAGGATAACTGACTAGTACACACTCATAAGCTACTATTCCATCTTCTGATACTACAGCGTATGGTTATGTGCACACTAAAATCTTAATATAAGTACAGAAACGAATTCAGGAATTATCCTCGCCAATTATCAAAGTACTGAATTGTTAACGGAACATAGAGCTTCTTGGGATTATGCACGCAATGAAATAAGGAAAACGTGGATCTGGCTTCTGTCTTGCGTTGCTACAGGTAAAAACAAACGCGTATGGCGGCATATATATACGTAGTAATTATACGTCTCGTACTTCTCGCGAATTTTTTCAATATGGGAACGCAAATATTCTAGAAGCATGTAGCTTGACAAGCAACAGCTAAGAATATTCATTGAACCAAGATGAAATAAAAACTATATACAAATAGCGTAAGGAGCAGACAGGACTCGAAGTGCAAGAGTGTGTCTATGAATACAAGTGCATCAAACTTACTAGGATTGCGTGACGCAACATTTAGCAGAGAACATAGCGACTATTGGCGACGTTAACAGGTTTTGATTGCAACTAGATAATAATATTTAATGAGATACATAAGTACATCGAGCTTACAGTATAAATAAAATGATCAAGTATAAAACGATTGAGGGTTAATCGAACGCAAGAACAGCACACTTAGTCGACGGATGAAATGCCAGCATCGTTCGCGTGTTGTACGCGGTTGTGATCAAAAATTCGCGTCTTATTATACATAGCGACAACAGTTCAATGTCATAAGCAGTAAAAATAAGAGCAGACTTCAAGTCTTCATTCCCTTGTCTCTTTGTACCAAAACATTCCTACTTATTTGCACCAGTTTTGTTCGTTTACGAATTACTGGAAGAAAATTCAATATATAAAAATACCAGTGAAAACTATACCGTACATGAAATATTATGACTCGAGCCATTAGGTTGACAAACAAGATGTGACAGAAAGGCTTCCACGAAAGCAACTTACGAATGACAAAATTCTCCAAGACTGATCTGGAACCACAGAGCGACGGTTTATCTTTAACCAACGTATAAATGAAAAGTGTTGCAGCAGCAATAACTTGGCAGGCAAAGCCTCAGCAATTTGAACAGAAACAACACATGGGCAGGAAGGACACTGAAAGAAGTTAAAGAAATGCACCACAAACACAATGAAAATAAGCGAGTACATTTTTTCCTAACGTTACAAATGACGCAGGTGCAGAGATAAAATTTACGCTAGTCACTGCAAAAAATTCCATGTGTAACAATAAGCAGAGTATAAGGTCCGTAGAATTAAACTCATCAGAAATAGAACTCAAGTTTTCTCTCCTTCAAACAACAGCAATACGTTGATCACTAGTATGGATATTACGTCCATATACACTAGCATACCGCATGTACATCGCAATTGTACAGCACACCGCAATTTGGTTAGCTTCTCAACTGTAGGTGAATTACACTTAATACCGTGCAGTTTCACGCACTACCAATCAGAACCCAATTCATCCCAAATGATCGTCGAAAATGACCCAAAAGCACTTCAGTTAGCAGTGTCTAAGAGACTAAGACATATTTGTTTGAAATATCAACACAAAGTTATTACGGCAGGTAAGATATAATAGTTCGAAATTTTCACACAGTTATTAGGGCAATTTTGTTCAGGAGAACAGTGTGGACAGACAACACTGAAGACGATACATTACGCATGACACTTGAGCCTAATGGTAGAGAAGCTTCATTATTCTAACAATTTCGTCGTTAGTTACAGATAATTATAAGTCACGTAAAGAACAAAGAGAAACGGCACACATAATCAGACATTTAAGGAGAAAACACCGGTAAGAGGTAGATAAAGGGAACTATTATGTCAATAGAAAGAGAGACTAGATAAATCGCAGGAAAGCAAAGAAAGAGAAATTAAGAAGAGCTAAGTACACGACCTACCAGTAATAGTTTTGATCATTAGAGTCAATAAAAATAACATTGAAGTAAACGAGCTAACTCATGAGGTAGTGAAACAAATTTGAAAATACGCTCAGAGCAGCCATGTTAGTCGTAACTAAGGCAGTGAATTAAATTAACAACAAGAGCTCAATTTACGCGCTTTCCATTCCGTTACAGAACTTTTAGATTGAATTACTAGGGATAATTTAACTGAAGAAATAGGGCCACGCAAAACTAAGCACATTAAGCAACTTTGAATACCCAACGCAATTATTAGTATATATAATGAACTTGGATGCCACCTGTGCAAACTGGGTAAAAAAGTTACTCGTCAATATAAATTAAAAATAAATACTAAGCCCTAATTTCAAGTACAAAATGTTATTCAATGTACAAAAGAAGAAACCTAAGGCTTGCATCTGAAGCTTCTTCACAGAAAGCATTCATGACAAGCATGAGGAGCTAAATGCTAGAGCCGCTTAAGCTGGCACCCACAAGATGTTCATGATACGGAGCAGCACTTGGAGCTGCCGTGTATGGCTAAAGAACTGGAGCTTTTTTCCGACTTGCTCTTCTTGGCCCCGCCAGCGTTTTGGTTGATATCCATAAGAAAGTGATTCCTAGGTGCCCCGAGGGACCCGTTCGCTGCACCTCGGCCTCCTAGCTTACAGGGTTTGAGCTTTGCTAGGGCGTCCATGTGAGAAGCGGACTTTGTAAGACTTGATACAGGGACCCTACACACCTGGTGCTGCAGGGTAGAGGGATGAGAGGTGGGCCTAGAGCCTAAAAGCACCCATGGACCACTCGAAGGAGAGGAAGGAGTAGGGGAAGACCCACTGGAAGGTGACGAAAAAGGCACTCCTGGCTGGGGCATGTCAGGATCGCTGTTATTGAAGTGGCCTAGTCGAACAGGCGGAGTGTCAACAATACCCAGTACAACATCTCGGGCACCAACGAACCTCTTGTTGTACATGCTTCCAGACGAGCTAATCCACGGGTCATTATCCTCACTCCGGCCTAAATTGTCATCGCTAGAAGGAGAGGCATGATATCTGTGCTTTCCAGAGCACTGATGATTAGCAACATGAATAACGACACGATCATCTTTTGGACTAAACTCATCAGTGGGAGAGCAATTAGAATCGCCGATGTATATTGTTGTGACGTTGTCATTAGTGATTGTAATATTATTGCAGGGGACACAGTTGTTGCTCTCGCTCACTAGAGAGCTTACAGAGAGACTGCATAAATGTGAATCAGTGTCTTCCTCTTCTCCACTCGCTTTTATGATGCAGTTAAGTGAACGACTCTCGCGCAGTGTCGAGTCTATGTCGAGCATATTTTCTGTGCTTCTGCTATTGTTTTCTTTCTTTGCAGGGCTGCTACGAGCCTCAAGGGCGCATGTTGGCTGAGACCGAGTACCTGTTTTTAATCCAGGATTAACACAAGGAGGAAGAGAAAGGGTCACAACAGGTACACTGTCAGGAGGAAGCAAGTTGTCCTCCATAATCTTAGAAGATATTTCATCACATTCTTTCAAGACTTCCTCACTATTTTCTACCGTGACAGAATCAAGCGGTGTATCAGTATCTAAGACAATTAAACTTTCTTTATCGCGTTTGTTATCTATATTATTATTAGTAGCATGTTTCAGACTTGTCCTATCAGTATCAGTTAAAACTCGAGGCATTGTCACAGCACTCGAATTCTCCACATTCTCTTTATTAAACTGGCGGGCCATTGCCTTAGCCCGCTTGACACGAATATCGTCCTCGTCATTGGACTCAGTAGAGCTACAGGAGGCAGTCCGTGCTCTCACAAGCCTGTTGTGTCGCCTGCCGCCCGAAGGTGACACCGAAGCAGCACCTGGCAAAGCCATAGCTAGAGAGTTCTGCCGCATGTTACCCAACGGGGCAGCAGCCGATGCTGCATTGCTGCTCTCGCCGTCACTCTCGCCCTCTTCAAATATTTCGTTCAATGTGAGCTGAGGAGATGAGCGAACGCTGTGTAACCGTCGATTAGGAGACGGCATTGTCTTGAACTTGAGGCTATTGAAGAAAGCTCCTTGGTTCTTAGGTGAAGGAGGATTTCCTTGAGTTTTGGGTGATGAAGGAAGACCTGGCGAAGAAGGTGACACGGTTTGCGAAGTAGGCGAAGACGACACAGAAGATTGCGGGGTAATCTTTGGCTGAGAAGGAATGGGAATTTGAGCGCTGACAGCTGCAGGAGCCACAGCAGCAGAAGGAATGACAGTGGAAGGCACGTGATTGAGACACAAGAGGCTGCTAGGAGGAGTCGTAGCTGGAGACGTGCCAGCACTGCGGGTTTTGCAGCGGCCAACGCCGATGTTTGAGGAGGCAGGGAAAGGCGGTTCAGGTAAGAGGACATTCAAGTCATCAGCCGATGGCGATGTCGTTGTGCTGCTGCTCTGCAAGGAGCCTTGCAGCGAGCCACTGCCGCGCCTCACGGCATCCAGGCGATGTAGCAGAGATAAGTCCAGTTTCATATCACGACCACATTTGTCCTTAAGACTTGACGTGCTTGAAGCTCGTGAACCTCGACGAGAACCACTTCTTGAGCCGCTCCTCGAACCGCTGCGAGACCCGCTGCGTGAACCACTTCTGGAGCGCTGCTGATTTGACTCCTCGAATGGTTCGTCCTCAGGTACAGCCTCTTCATCGAACTCTTCTTCTTCCTCCTCCTCTTCGACAATGCTGAACGTGCGGTGACGATTGCCAAGTCGCATCTGCAGAAAACAAACCTTTTCACTGAAGACTGACACAGGACAAAACAAATTCTCTCATTCGAGTCAGACATTTGATACACCAAATCCTCTCATTTGAGTCTGACATTGGATTTGCGGTGGTATTTCATGGGTGAGGCACATGAATGAGTCCACAAATAAAATTTATATAAGTATACCTTGCGATTCCAGCTCGATTTAGCACAGCATTAGCTTCAAGGAACTTAATTATGGGACGAAATATACCTGCATTATTTGATGTATTGAAGCTTTCTATGAATTACAACAGATCAGCGTGACAAACACGTTATAAAAACGTGACAAACGCGTGAATAAAGTTCGATGGATACGAACGCACAAAATGCGACTGATGGTAGCAACAGAAAATTTGCTACGACTTCCTCTCAATGTCAAATTTTAATCTTCTGATCCTTGCCATATGCACAACTGCACATGTCACGGAATATTGATTCATTCTGTTGCAATTTCCTAGTTTTAAAACAATTGTTTCCTAGACTACATTGCAGTGGTGGCTAACTTGTAAATAATCGTGAATTAATTCTGCCTCTGCACGTTGTTGAAAAATATTACAAATTCAAGTCATTCACGCATAAATGTCGCATAAAATTGTCAATTTAGAAGTGTAGCTCAGCGGCCAGTGCTATATAATTATTACCTATACATTTTTATACTATTTGTAAGTTAAAATAATATGCTTTTTAAAAATTCACCTCGGCAATCTTGGTGTGCAGTGCAGAGGTGCCGATCGCATTGGTGCAGGAGTCGTCTTTGCTCACTCCAGCCACAGGCAAGGCTGGATCGCTCTTGCCAACATCTTCCTCATCCCTGCAATAATTGGCAACCTTCAGACGACTCAAGGCAAGGGATGTGCCCAAAATTATGCTGCATTTAGTTCAATATATAAGGTTAATAACCGCATAAAAATGAGGACAACTACAGGAAAACAAATCAAACTTGTACATTACATTCATGCAAGCCATTACTTGAAGAAGACTGAAATACGTTTAAACCACAACAATAATAATAATAATAATAATAATAATAATAATAATAATTACTGGGAGTTTTGTTCCATTTTGGAATATGTTTCTAACCATTGAGACGAATACGTTTTGGAAAAATTGTCAAACTTACGCGATGGATGTAAAGAAAACAAATTACTCATTGAATCATTTAATAATAAAATAATAGCTAAACAAACTGTAACTGTACTCGTATTATAAATTACAGAGCGGATTGTGAACCTGTCAGTCTGTCAGATGAGATTTAACGCTCTAATTTTGAAATATAAATCTTATTTGCATTATCTGAGAATAGCGGCAAATAAATTGTGATACCGTATGTTTGATACAGACAAACAGTTACTATCATAGTTGCGAACAAGAGATTCTTTAGAAACAAGTTCATTTATAATTTCCTGATCTATTTTTCAAAAATTTTATTCGATATCTATGAATGATAATAATACATGATACTTCACTAGTCTTCTCACAAGACTTGCAAAGAAAGAGCCTGACACTTCTTTGTTTGTAAAAACCACTCAAAGGATGAATAGTTATAATACAGAGTAACTGAATAGTTGGAAAAGGTAATAGTAAATGATAATTATGTATGAAACCAGGACGACGATTCAATGAATAGAATTTTTACTTGACGGATAAAATTGATAGTAGTATAACCTGAGCAATAAGAATAAGAATGGAAGACATTCCAACATTTTCAAACTGTACCTATATAAAACCTTAATGGTCACCGTGATAATGAACAAATGCAAGACTATACCGCTTAAAATATTCTGAGACGAAGAAACCGGCGAGAAAGAATACCCATCTTTATCACATGAATAAAATAAAAAACCAAGATAGGAATTGACGAAAGAGAAGAGAAATGGTAGTGAACATAGGTGAATATTCTATGAAAAATATAAAAAAAAGAAGCTTGGAAAAGATTCATACTAATACAATAAAACAGGCTGAAATAATTACAAAAAAAAATGAACACTTATGAATTACTAACTTAACTCTAATGCCTGATTTTGTTAATTATAATATGTGGACACCAAAGATAATCTAATTAGAATCCAATTTAATCATTTAGTCTCGCAACAAAAGCACCCAAAGACATTTATAAAAGTGATCATTGAAACTCCCGCTGCAAAGTAGGCAAGAGAGCGCCATAGATCAGAGATTCATTAGCAGATAATCAAGTGTGCTATCGGATCCTATAGACTATGCAAATAATAATTCATGTTTAAAGAGAGGAATATATACTTGAAGTCAGGATTACGACGGTAATTAATTGCGCTCTAAGTCACGCTCATAACAATACAGGCATGCGCGAAAGACTGCATATAATACTAGAGATCTGCTCTGAAGCGCAGCATTACGATGTAAGTAACATTCCGCTCAGTAATGCTGGTTAATGTGTTAAACTCGGGGCAGCGTTACACTCAGGGAATTAAACTCAAACGACACATTAAAAAATATTCACACTCTAACCTAAATTACAATATTTCATTAGTTCTAAACAATACATCATTGCAACAAAATTCCTCTTTACACATTATGGCAACAAAATTAAACTTTATAAATAAAATTTCAGAAAATTCCATTTGAAACAAATGAAACCGGAGGCAAAATAGCAAGCTCGTGAACGTATAGGTTTTTAAGAACCTATAAGACCCAGAAATTGAGATTGGAGAAGTCATGTACTGACGTCACGGTCAGAATATAACACAAATATGTTAATACCGAAATAATACCATCAACTTAATAGGGTTGGTATTTAACCAGAAAATAAAAACACATTAAAGATTTAGATAATAGAGCAGATTGGTATATTTTCCTAACGATAAAACATTAGTCAAGTATCCTATTGTTCCATTACAAGAAAAGAGCGCACTGCAGACGCGTACCGCAAGCATTATCAGGACAACAACTATCAGAAATAGCAATAGCAATATCAATACAAAGAATTAATGACTAACGGTAGCGGAACGGCGTCAATTAATAAGTATATTGTAAATATACTTATCAATAACAATAATTATATGAATATATAATATTCAAGCTGCGGGCGGCGTCAGAATATTGAGTATAATAATACGCATATTGTAAGGCTCACGGTTGAGGGGCGGCGTCGAGCTGCTGCAGGCGCTGTTTGTTGTTGTGCTCGACGTCCTCTGCGGTGCGTAGGCGCGCCGCCCGCAGCTTGCGCTCCGCCAGCAGAAAATACGTCGCCGTGATGTGGTTGTAGTCGTTGCGGTCCAACGCACTGTAAACCAACACCTTGATATCACACTATAAACTAACAACAAAACATCCCACTATGAACCAACACATTGACATATTACTATAAACTAACAACGAAAGACAAGATTACTATGACATCACACTGTAAACCAACACTATGACATCACGATCGAAGTGCTGACGCCCGAGTGTGACTGAAGTTTTCTGAGTGATCACAGTTCTAGTCACTCCAGGAGGCATCAACTGAAATTTTGCTTTTCCATGGCCAATTGATCCTGATACCAGGAATTTTATCAGCCACCAACTTGCGTATAACACGACCGTAAACTTTATCCTTATATTACTCACTCGATGATCTGGTCAATAGCAGCAATGTTGCCTGCCACCATCTTGTGTATGACATGACCATCAACTTTATCCATGCATTACTCACTCAATGATCTGGTCAATAGCAGCAATGTTGCCAGCTACCATCTTGTGTATGACGTGACCGTCAACTTTATCCATGCATTACTCACTCAATGATCTGGTCAATAGCAGCGATGTTGCCTGCCACCATCTTGTGTATGATGTGCGCGTGGTCCTCCTCCGTGAGGTGCTCACGTGACACGAGGGGCAGCATGTCGGCCAGCTGCTCTGTACCAGGGCCTGCACCTCGCAGCCACGGGTCACGCGTGATGTCCTCCAATGTCGACCGCTTGTTCGGCTCACGGATCAACATTTTGCTGATTAACCTGCACAAACAGCTCTTTGTTAGAACTAAACATTACCTAAATCACTAGTATGCTTAAATCAAGTCAAAATCATCAGCCAACATAAACAGCTTTTTATCATAACTCAAATTTAGTAATAATTATTTATCCTTGGTTTGTTTAAATAGCAAGTAAACCATTGATTTCAAAACAATGTAAACAGCTAATATATAGATTCACAATAACATATTGCTGATAAGCCTTCACAAAAACGTTGGAAACTAACTTTAGTTACATCATTATTTTGCTCTAATGGCAAGTTAAGAATGTAGAACAAGAAAAACGGCTAGTAAGTTCCCCGTATATTCACTGATGATAGCCTGAATTTGGTATTTTGATGACGATCTGGTGAATTTGATTGGCTTGTTCATTAATTTTGAGCTCCTAACCCTCATTTGTTTTCTACAACAGTTCAGAGTGTAAAATTTCATGTCGTATCTAAAGAATACCCATAACTAATGAATGGTAATATAACTTTGAACATCTTGTACCTATAGTAACTTGGGGCATGATATGCTGTTGAGGTGAGCAAGCAAGAAGGAACATTATGAAAAAAAATTTTATGTTTGCAATGCAGAGACTTTACCTTCTGCATGGCAGAGACACGTGTTCAGGAATGTTATAGGAACAGTCCATGATGCGGGTCAGGGTTTCACTGTCGTTTGCCTCGTGGAAAGGAGCTCGTCCTACCACCAGCATGTAAAGTATCACCCCCAGCGACCAGATGTCTGTTAAACATAAACCAGATGTCTTGATTGCATGTCAAAAATTTGTACCTATTAATCCAAGAATGTTAAGTGAGGAAACGATTGTTGATATAAACTTTCATTTTGACTACGGTACATTGTCAGAATTATTATGAATGGTGATGATAGAGGATAAAACAAACGGCAAACATTTTTATGTGCAATAAAAAATAAATTTACGAAAAAGAGGGAAATGTCACATCAGCGAGCACTTAGATGCAACTTTGAGTATACATTGGTAGTTGGTACCTAGACCAAGAGACTAAGTACAAAATCAGAAAGATGGTCGATCTAACAAGAAGGCTTAGCACTTCTACTTAACACAAAATAAACATTATTTTCTGATATATACAAAATGATTGATTGAACTTGTATATAGATGAATTAGTGCCTTTCAGTCAAAGTCCTAGATTGAATTAAATTTAAAGACTTTATAAATTTAACTAAAATAAATAATTCTGTGAATAGCAATAAGAATTATTACATTTAAATGCTTCTTGTGAATTAAACTCACCCACAGCTGGGGCATCATAAGAGTCTCCCAGGAGTATCTCAGGTGCTGAGTAAGCAAGAGACCCACAACTAGTGTCGAGTTTTTGACCAGGGTTAAATTTATTACTAAACCCAAAGTCAGTGAGTTTGACCATGCCAAGTTTCTCAAAGAACACCACGTTCTCAGGCTTGAGGTCCCGATGCACCACATGAAGCTTGTGGCAGTAGCTGATGGCATGCACGATCTGACTGAAATATTTTCTGGCAGCTTCTTCATCTAGTCCTGAATCATGTCTTGAGGAGAAATAACAAATATTGTAATAAATCTGTGAGAAATCGTGATAGGGTAAAAACAATTCTATGGGAAGATGAGAATAAACATCTTAAGTACCCCTAGATAGTTTTCGTAGGGGTCAATTATAATCTTGTACAATAGTAGGTATTTAACCTTTATAAGAGAACAAAACAAAAACTGAGGACAGAGAGCCTAGAATCTAATCAGTCCAAGTCCCTGAGTTCATATAATGCAATGCAAATATCAAAACATTTCCTGAGTAAAATATTATTAAATGTTATATAGATCCATTGTTTTGCAAAGCAAAGAAAACATTGCTCTGATTGGGTGGTGCAGATGGTTACTCACTTCATAATGTAGTCAAACATGTCTCCACCATCAGCCAGCTCTAGAATGAGGTAGAGTTTTGTTTGAGTATCAATAACTTCATAGAGACGGACAACATTGGGGTGCTGCACCAGCTTCATGCAGCGCACCTCTTGGAAGAGATGATCCCGCGACACTTCATCTAACTTACTCTTGTCTATCACCTGTGAAACCATCAACAGTTACTACTTTCAGTCAAGGAGCAAATAGTTTTAAATCCCAGAACAAATCAGCCTGAAAGCTATCAAAATATTTCTTTTGTACGTTTTTCCTTTTTTTACAAAATTTCCTTAACACAATATGGAAACATAAGAATATAGTTTTTAACAATTCATAATCAAAAGTAAAATTAATTTTGCTCTCATTTTTAGTAACACACTATATAATTTTGAATTGTTAACAGTATTGTAAGAGAAATATAGCACCACACATTTTTATACTAGTATTCCTTAACTATATACCGTAAAATGGGGTTACTTTGACTCCCGGGGTAACTTTGACTACTTTTCGTTTTTTTAACAAAAACCCCCAAAACTCAAAAACTAATTGACATAGAAAATTTTGTCATTGGCCATTAAAGGCTCAATAATGAGGCTACATAACACAATAGAAAGATTTAAAAAGTTTGCATATGTAATAGGTTAAAAAATTTAAAATGTGACCCACAAAAAAGAGCTATTATTTAAAGCTTGTCGCGTTGTCGGAGTACCCCCTCCAATTTTTTTATTTTTTGGTAAAAAACTCCAGGTTTTGATGCATTGTAGTAGAACTCTTCTAGTTACATATGCAAATTGGAATGTCAATTTGCAATACTGAAATAATCTTACCTTGACAGCCACCTTCTCGCCAGTAAAGACATGACTGGCCAGTTTGACCACAGCATAGTGGCCTCTCCCCAACGTCTGCTCCAAATCATACAGTCCCGCAATCTTGCCATCATACCCGCTCATCCTCCTGTCAAACAAACTTGTCTTATAATTGAATTTTTGCCTCTACACTTTAAAAGACATTCAAAATAGGAGTTTACATTTTTAACCCTTTAGTGACCAAATTTTTTTCAAATTAAGAACACCACATCATATCCATACCAAATTGCTGAAATTTATAAATTGACAAAAAGAATTAACAGGCATTATGCACATGTTCCCTTGATAATGCATCCAGAAATTCAAGGAGATACTGTCAAACGGGGTAAAAAGGGATGGTTTTGGGCATTTTTTGTTATTAACTTCTAACCATGAAACATTTCATAAACAAGTTTGGGCTCAATTTAAAGGTCTTTTGCAAGGGCTATTGTATGGCATGTCCAAAAAATTCCATATGCTATTTGTAAGGTGCTAGACGCAATATGAAAGGCTCCTGAATCAATCTGCAAATGGGGTAAAGAGGGACACTTGAAATAAAACTCAATTTTAAACATTTGAAGCATGCAGATTGCAGAGTGTACTCATCTATTACTAACAGTACTCTGAAGTCCTCCTCTTCCTTTGTAGATGATGTAAATGTAGAATAAATGAAATTTTATGTGATTTTTACTTAATTTTCTTCATTGATATAATAGTACCTTATCCATACATTTCCGTATTATTAATGTCGTATTACTGTATCCATGGACATGCCATTGAGCATTGACAATGAACTTGTCCACTGCAAGTTTCATATCAGCAGCCATGTAGCATTTCTTCTGTCTTACAGGATGGTTTGTAATTTTGCACAATTTTAATCAAGTCAATTGATTTCATTATACAATAAAGATTGCAAAAAACATACCTGAAACAGGAAGGAATATTTTAGTGACAACCATCATATTTTTTGGAAAAATAAATCATATTTTAGGTTAATTACTTTTCATTCTTTGTTGCCCAGTGCTCAATTCTATCTGTGACATTCTATGCACAATTTTGTGATGACTGATGCAGTAATTTTTTATTAAGTGCACTTTTTTCACTGAGCGAGGTAAATGTAATCAAAATTCTTTGTTATTAATTGATTTTTTCATCAACTGGAGCCTTTGCCAACCAAGGTTCTACTGTAAATGCAATTTTAGGGGTGTCCCTTATTACCCTGGTGGGGTGCCCCTTACTACCCCGTCTTGTGGAAGTGGCCACCATTTTTTCTTGGAATGAGATATGCAAATTCTGTCAATCACGTTTTTAAGCCAACACTAGTGTGCAACTTTTATGTGAGTAAAATTTTTCAATACAACAAATATTTTTTCTGCTACAGACCTTAGCAGAGGTACTTTTCCAAAATCTCACTTTTCATTTTTTTCAGGAATTTTTTAGAGGCAATAAATGTATGATTTCTCAACTTGCTTTATGCTGCATAGATAGTAAAAATGTTGAACTTTACACCAATATTTTTAGTTTTGCAATATTTTACTTAGTTTAGCTGCTACAACATTTCTACAAAATATTGGAGGACTGTCTCTTATTAGAGGACTGCCCCCACCCATCCCTTTTTACCCCATTTGATGGTTGGTATATTTGTACAATTGAACAAATGAACTTACAAAAAAAAAACTTTTAAATGGCAAAATGAGTACAGCAGTTGCTGAAGGTTGGGAAAAATAATTTTAATGAATTCTAGGTTCAGCACAGACAACAATCATACTAATTTTAAGAAAATGCCACACAGGTTGACACAGTAAACTACAGAAAAAGCAAGCAGATATCAAACTATCTTTGTTTGTATATCACCATAAATAACAATACCTAGATGATCTTGTTAATGAATTGGACACAAAATTTTTCCTGAAAATTTTGTGGATAAATTTAAAAAATATAGTATAAGCATGATGAAAAAAAAACTTTTGGAAAAAATGGTAAAGACAATCCATTAATATTCTTATCATCAAGTCCTATCAAATGGAGATGGCAAGAGCAGAAAAATGAGCTGCTGGGATCCAATGCATGACAAAAGGAAAATTGGAAAAATACCTGTTGTTGTAAATGCTCAATGGCATGTTCATGGATACGGTAATATTGCATCAATAATACGGTAATCAATGTATATGGTAATATCATATCAATAAAGGAAAAACGAGTAAAAATCACAGAAAATATCATTTATACTACCTCTACATCATCTACAATGGAAAGAGGAGGACTTCAGAGTACTGATAGTAATGGATGAATACGCTCTGCATGCTTCAAATGTTTTAAAATGAAGTTTTATTCAAAGTGTCGTCAAACGGGGCTACTCGGGACACTCTTTTTAGCGCATTTTCTCATTTATGGAAAAATTCACTATTGTGCTCGCCATGTCTGTCTGTCCATCCGTCTGTCAGTGACCTCAACTTTTTGTCAACAAGAAAATGCGTTCTCTGTCACTCACTGCTTTGAGTACTGAGTTATATTTTTTTGCTTCTGGCACCTTAAGAATAGCATATGGATTTTTTTTGGAGAAGCCATGTGATAGCTCTTGTAACAGGCTTTGAATTGAGCTTAAACTTTTTTATGAAATGTTTCATGGTAAGAAGTTATGAATGAAAAACGTTCGAAATCGTCCCAAGTAGCCCCGGTTGACGGTAACACATTATAACACATCACAACACTTATAACAATTCCTAATACATGTTTAAACCAAGGCATCATAACACAGCATATTCTGTTATGTTATTTTCTGTGCTGTGTCAAAATGTGTTGTTATAATGTCCTGTAATACTATCTTATCTTATGTTGTGTTACAATGTGTTCTGTTATGATATGTTGTGTTACATTATAATGTGTTATGTAATGTGGTAACCATGTGTTCTTTAATGTTATAACGTTGTGTTATAACATGCGATGTTACATTTTGTTACAATATATTCTGTTATGTTATAATGTGTAGTGTTCTTATGTTGTTTTATGCCACATTGATCATAATGCGTGTGCGTCAGTGTGCATCATCAGGGATTGGTTACCACGACCGTAAAGCGCAAGCGTCAGAATTGATCATTATGCATCAGCTACATTGATTGCAAAAAGTGTGCATCTGTGTCCATCGTCAGGCAGCGACTTCATTGGTCATAAAGTGGGTGTGTAAGTGTTGATCATCGGGCATTGGCTGCATCAATCACAAAGTACAAGCATCAGGATCGATAATTGGGCATCAGTTGCATCGATCGTTGCAAGCTTGCATTCATGTCAATCACGCATATCGTTCACGAATCGATCGTGAAATGCGTGCATCCATGTCGGTCCTTGATCGTAAAGCGCGGGCATCTATGTTGATCATTGATTGTGAAGAGCCGGCATCTATGTCGATCATTGTGCAACAGCCGCATTGATTGTGCAAATGCGCGCGATCATCAGGCATCAGTCAGCAATGCATTTTCATTTTTCTAGCAAACATACTGGCAACTTTCTTCCTTGACGCACTGGTGGTGTACATGGTGAACTTCCAGCGCCCACGCAACACCTTCCAGACCATGGGCAATCAATTTTGGTGTCATTGCCGTCCATTTGCTGCATCTGTGCAGAGAGTGGATGAATATTGCAAGATCTTTGGTGACGCTTCAGTAGCAAAATTTACGCCTTCAGAAGATCTTGCCAACACATTTAGATTGAAATTCTTGCATTTAATATATTTGTCAGTCTTTGGTCAACTATTTAAAAAAATTGAGGTTTCCGATATGTTGGATGGATCAGGATGCAGTGAAGCTTGTCCGGAACTCAGTTGCAATGAGTTCCCGCCAAAAAAATGTAAACATCAAGTTTACAATTACGTAGTTGCGGTCACATCAGAGCGGTCAGACTTCATTATCACGTGTTCAGTTGACACTTGCTCAGTCTTGCTGTACAATTGGTGAATCGGACTGTTTTTAGGGTAAAATTAGTTATTTGGGGTAACACGTGCATGCAACCTTGTAAATAAGTTCGTGGCTTGTAAATAGTTTTTCATTACCCAGCGTAAATGGCTTTTCATTAAAAATTACCCGGTGATGCATCTTAAAATTACCCGCAATAGCCGGCGACGCTTAGGGCTTAAAAACCCATATATTGGTGACGCTGCATCCACCCTCTGCGCCCTGGGCTGCAAACATTGGCATTCTCCGTCCATTTAGATGGTGCCTTGGCGTCTTTAAGGCAGAAAAACGGCATCCTTGACTTATGTTGTGCCATACTCTACAGACTGGTGTGTAACATCAGAGACACTAAATTCTTTGGAAGTGTTGTCTTTAACACGTTGACTACGATTGCTTCATCTTGTACAATTATTTCATTTTTTGTATTTTTTTTTAAGCAGGGTTGCCAGACGGTCATTTTTCTGGACAAATTCCGTGACTTTAGTTTTTCTCAATTGCGTTGGCCGGCTAAAATTTATGATAAGGGTACTTCCTAATTAAATTTTAAATACTGCAAAAAGAAAACAAATGGAATTTTTATAGTGGAACCTACAAATAAACTAGTATAAATTGAATTATCGGCCTTTTTTGTTCTCGGATTTGGCCAATTTTGGCAACCTGAATTATGTACCACTACCTCCTGGAGTTAGGAGTAAGGTAAACGCGGTATATTCCGACATTGTGGGTAATTCCGTCACCTCTCTAGTTTTTCCTTTATATTAAGCTTTGTTTTAGTTCCATGCGTTCGTTGATTGAATATAGGGATTTGGTAGGTTTCCATTCTAAAGGCTTTTTTATAAATATGGCAACATTTTGTGACGTTTCATCATTGCTGACGCGTAGTGAGGTATTTTCATTTTGAGAGTCACGTGAAGCCAACAGAACTTGCGCAACGCATACGTATTTTTTATAGTTTTTCATTTCTCGATGCGTCCTAAATGTGTCGGAATATACCGCGTTTACCCTACATTTCATGGTAGGTAGCTACGCATATGTACCAATACCGGCAATACCTAGTCAACGTGTTAAAAAGTAATTTTCAAACGTATATTATTTTAGAATCAGTTCATTTTTAATTTTCTCATTTACCTAGGTACTAAAGATTTACACCAATATCTTGTGTATGATGATGCTGGATAAGCCTGGATTGCTGGTATCCAGGATACTTTGCTGGTCTACTTCCTAGCTAGTCTGGAAAAGTCCTATTTTTGTCTGAAATATCGCGGCTCTTATATCATATAATTTCAGTAGGTATGAAATCTCGCGGCTCAAATGTCATAAATTTTTGTTTGATTAAAAAATCGCGGTTTGCACTTCGCAAACATGTCATTTCATAAAATTTTCAACTTCCGCAATCCGCATTGCTTTACCGCTGTCTCTTATACACATCTAGATGTGTATAAGAGACAGGGTAATGTAAACAAATAAACAAAACGTTTGTTGAAGATCGCGCATAGTTGCGGTCATGTCAAAGCGGTCAGACTGTATATTAACACGTGCTGAACTTACAGTAGAGACAAATTTTATTGTTGCCGTTTGACTGTTTAAGGGTAAAATTAGAGATTTGGGGTAACACGTGCATAAACTTTGTAAATAAATTCGCATTCGCACCTCGTAAATGGCTTTTCATGGCCGAGATATGGAATTCACGGCTCGGTGAAATAGAATCACGGCTCGTAGAAATGGAATCACGGCTGGCAAATCCATAAAACCATGGCTCGAAAAATTCAGTCGCGGCTCGCCAAGTAGATATATTCCATACTAGCTTCCTAGCTATAGGACTTGAAATTGAACTTTAAGGAGTCTAAAAAACTCTCTGCTTTGCCACTGCCTTAGGTCGCCACTGTCTTATTAACTAGGTATGAGTCTTATTTACTTCAGTTGCCACTATCTTATTTATACTATGAGCCAATTTCAGCCAAATCAGCCAAAGCAATAGCCTAGTAATAAGCCTACTGCAATAGCAATAGGTGAATAGGGCTATCATGCTATGCATGATTGTACATCAGTGAAATTATTTAATGACACATTTTATTATTTATTTGAAGCCATGAAATTATATCCTCAATAAAAATAAGTTAATCTAAATGTAGATCCAAAATTGCACTCAAGAAAGAGCTATCTAAGATAATCTAACTCTTTGACTACCTACATCTAGCAAGCCAAAATCAGTGAGACATAGTTGCAGTTGGACGTCAGAAATTATGTAAAATGTACTGAAATTAAACGCTTTCTTCTTTCCTGGAAATACTTACTCAAACAATAATCAACAAAATAATAGCAACAAACATCTTAATGACTTCTTTCCAGCATTCATGACTGCGGAAGGCTTAACGCCTTTTTTCGTGCACTAGCAAGTGTTGACAGTCTGTTGACATATTCTATAAGTGCGCAGTCGATTTGCGCACACAGTTATTTGTAAATCCTACATGTAATTATTTTTTTTTGCCGTTCCTTATAGAAATTATTCGTATTTTCTTTATATTCATTTTTTTCTTTATTCTATTCTATATCATGACCTCAAATAATTCAAATTCAATTTGACTAAGGGCTCTAAATCTTTTTTAATGGCAGAAACTCACCTAAAATTCCTAAAATAGGCCTGATAACCCCGCTGCTAACGAGCATGACTCGCTAAATAGGAGATAAAAACATAAATTTGAAACTTGATCTCTATCTGCCTAATTTTTAAAACTATTCTGAAAAAAAAATCCGACTTTTTTCTGTCTCGAATTGAGCAGATAATATATTTCTACCCACAAACGTTTCTGGTGGCCTATCGTCCAGCAGCAAATAAACAGACCTTCTAGCACGGACAAGAATTTTAGTGGTTGATTAGCTGACGAATGTAAGTACATCTTCCCGTACAAACTTTCCGTCAATTATTCGTACTGCATTCAAGACACAGAACTATTCATGTAGATGCAATGTCCAACCAATCGTATGCTAGTTTTTCAACCAAAAAATTTTCCAGTAAGTATTTCAACAAAAAAATTATTAGCTCGATTTCTGGCACCCTGCTGGTCATATGTAGATACGACAAATCTTCCACCAGTGCACCATTGCTCTTCCTAATTTACTCTGCTCGCTGATGTAGATTGGCAAAGGTGCTCCGTTGAGACGCATCTGACCGCTCTTCGAACTCAAAGCGGTCACTCTTCATATCACGAAATGAAAAGAAGGACCTCAGAATCTCAAAGAATGACGTTTGCAGAGTTTTTTTTTTACATAGGTTGAACATTTTGTAGAACATTTGTACCAGTCTTTTTACAAATTGAAAGTTTCGTTCGCGTAGAAAAAGTAGCAGATACGATAAGTCACCTAACATTCCCACATGAGAGCCGTTGAAAGACCTCTAGCCAGGCTGATGCAGGGACACCAACCTACATTCTAATAAAGCCCCTTTCACACAGGGCGGTAAATACTGCCAGCGTCCGACGGTATTTACCGGCGAACCTTAGCGCACATACGAAATGTGCACTGCTGTTCACATGCGACGGCTTTTACCGCGGCATAGAATTTGACGCCTGACGCCCGCGTGTGTCGCGCTAAAACTGTGGCGGTAGATGTGCCGCGACAGTTTAGCAGTTGCAATGGGATTCAATGTAATCTTTCACACAGGGCGGTTTTTTTTCACGCAACATCCTAGCAGACAGTGGGGCCGTATTTTAGGTGCATAATAAACAACACTGCAAGACTGATAGATTATATGCTGATATTGTTGCAAAAATATCGGTACATGAATATTGTTACATTAATATTGTTACATAAACATGAAGATATACATTGATAAATATATATTTCCATAAAGTGATAGAGATATATTTCATAAAATATATATTTTCCATTAAATATGTATGTATTTCCATAGAGATTATTTACATTATTCTCACACAGAGATATATTTCCATATAGAAGTATTGTTATATCAACATAGAGATGGACAAATGGTGCATAAAGCACTGCAAGGCTGATACAGTGCCGGAAATGGCTATACGACCACCTAGTTTTCTGCAAATATTTTTTCTTGCATAGAAAAATATGAGATTCTAATTACACGAGGTTAAAATACGTTTAAAAACGGTTCCAACGCAATGCGAAAAAAATTATTTTCTCAAAATATATGAGAAGAAATTATGAAAATTAGAAAAACCTAGGTGGAAATGGTTATAAGACCAGGATAGGTTTTTCTCCATTTTGGTATCTTTCTGTAATATTTTCACTCTAAAAAGTACAGCAATATAAAGAATATCTTGATTTTCGTCATTTAGCGAAGCCTTTCTGGTGTACTTCTGGTGTAGTTCACTGTCCTCACTTATATTTTTTCGAAGTAAAAAACATAACAAATGGGACAAGACTCATTGAAGCCGAAAAGGCGCAGATTTTCGGCTTTGTGAAATTCAGTAGAAGCCAACGAGACATCACAATGGGAATAAAATGCTCAAAACCCATTGCACAATCGTTTTTTGCAAATACGGCTACGGGTGAAAAAAGCGCACTGGACCAACACCAAAATTAACCAACAGGGATCTTAGGATACTGTTTTCTGAGGCTTCTTAAACTTGCGCTACCTCTACTTCTCTAAAATTGGCCACTGGAGTTGATGTGACAGCTCGACGCATCCGTTAGACATTGCATGACAGGGTGGCCCAGTGGTTAAAGTTCAGAGTACCAAGATTGGTGCAGAGAGGCGCGGGTTCGATCCCAGCTATGTGCGCCAGTTTCTGGTCAGAATCGGCAAGGAGGCCGGGCGGTTAAGCACAGTAGAATTGTAGCAGTGAGTTGCGAGTTCGAGACCGCAAAATGCTGTGAATGTTCTGCGGTGTTAAGAATCGGCGACAGGCCTACGGCCTAATAACGCTGAAACCGCTATTACTTTATTACTATTACTATTACTATGACTCGAAGAAATTCAAATACATGACGAGGAAAAATGCCCCTGTGCTCCAACAAAAGCATATTATCAACCGACAAAAAATTTGCTGAAAAATATTTGCTTATTGGTAAAGGGATGGCACAAGATCATCTTCAGTGATGTAAAAAGTTCAATCTTTACGGTCCAGATAGATGGCAATGCTATTGGCACCACTGGACCGTGAGCCTGAATTTTTTTCCAAGTGGCAATCTTGTGGCGGTCATGGTTTGAAGGGCGTTTAGCCGAAAGGGAAATTCAACTCTAGCTACGTATTTTACATGGGAGACAAGATTCCGTGGCTACAAGCACACGCTGTTTTACCAACTTCTCCCTTTTGCCGATGAGAAACATGAGGGATCATATATTTTCCAACAAGACAATGCTTCGATTCACACCTCAAAATCAGCAAACATGTGGTTCCTAGAGCAGAATATTACTCTGTTTGCCGTGGCCAGCGCTTGCGCTTAGTCCTGACCTCAACCCCATTGAAAACTTATGGGGCATCATGGCGAGGGATGTTTACCAAAAAGAGCGCCAGTTCCAATCTGTGAGTGACCTGAGCACGGCCATCTTTCGTTCTTGGGATAAAATTTCTCAAAAGACACTGGATTATATGGTAAATAGCGTGGGGAGAAGATGCATTGAGGTAATTATGGCGAAAGGGAGTGAGATTGCCTATTAAAATAAGTGTATGTGATCCACAAACGGAAAAACATATCTTGGTCTTATAACCATTTCCACCTAGGTTTTTCTAACTTTCATAATTTCTTCTCATATATTTTGAGAACATTATTTTTTTCGCATAGCGTTGGAACCGTTTTTAAATGTAGTTTAACCTCGTGTAATTAGAATCTCATATTTTCTGTGCAAGAAAAAATATTTGCAGAAAACTGGGTGGTCGTATAGCCATTTCCGGCACTGTATTTTCGCGTTTTAAGCGGTTTTTTGTGTGACCTGTGGCGGTGTATATTGTGGCTGTGTTTTTTTGGCGCTCTGTGTATTTGTCGCCCCTGTGTGAAAGCTGCTTAAGCCTTCTACGGTAAATCTGAAGCTCAGTTTAGAATGTCGCATTTAACATATGCCCGTAAAACACAGCTTCTCACGTCCAGTTGGCGTATCTGTGCTCCAAAAATAGTTTACAGCTAAGCGATGAACGTCATACTACCTGTCAACCCACACGAGAAATTGTGATTGTGTCGTGCATTTGTTCTCGTACCTTTGTCTGTGCTGTGCATTACTCGTATCTTTCCAACGTAAGCATTTTCCGGTGATTGAAGTAAAACTAATTGGCTGACAGTTTTCGGCGCTGGCTCTGCTGAATACATTGTAAATTGACGCCATCCACCTTTGCTACTTTCCAGAATCTTTTGTTTACTGACAGATTTATGAATACCATCGCAAGAACCGTTTGCGCTGCAAATGTTGGCGCTGCTCTCAAGTGCAAGCAAAATTGATGAGCCCACCATATTTCAAATGTATCATTTCAAAACGAAGACTAGTCGATTTCCATTCTTCTACCCATCATTACATCTCCGTCGTCACAGAATCATTTTCGAGGTATTTCAGCTATTATTTTCAAAAACATTTTTCTAGCTACTCTCAGTTAATATGACACTGCTGTTATCTCAAACACTTAGAATAGAATAAAAGTGTCGGCAAAGACGAAATAGGCCCGTGACCTGTTGCCGATTCTCGTGCACATGCTTGGTTCGATATTTCGTAGAGTTCTCATGCAACCCTCGTGTCACGCATAACTTGATCGAATCGAAATCAATCTTGACCTAATTATATATATAATTATCAACAAAGCTATTCATTCACAAGACGCTCCTGCGAGTGTACAGTCGGAATTTTTCTGGCTTGACAAACTCTCGACTTATTTTGCTCTGCGACCAGCGTTCTCCGAATTTTTTGTTCGGGCATTTTTTCTTTTTAACGCTAAAACGCTGAGCTTTTGAGGCGACCGTTGGCTAACTGCGTCATATATGAATCGATCACCGATTAATCAACAACAGAACATTTCATTAACATCGAACGGCATTAAGCGATGTCAGAAGTTTGTGTGGTTCAGAACAGATAAAGTATTGCATACAAAATTCAAGGCGCACGACACATGCTCTTCCATCTGCAAGCTAGTGGCACAGTGTGGTGGTAAGTTATATCTCCTGTATGCGAAGGCCTCCAGTTTTTTACCATCTTCATGCACTGTAAATATTTCGAACTTATTTCTTTCTATTTACTTACATGAATGTGCTTCGAAGTTAGCTAACAAGATTACTAGTAATAGTGAATTCAGCGTTTATTAGGCCGTTAGACCTGTCGCTGATTCCTAACATCGCAGAACATTCACAGCTTATTGCGGTCTCGAACACCCAACTCACTGCTCCAATTCTACTATGCGTAATTAACCGCCCGACCTCCTTGCCGATTCTAACCAGAAACTGCCGTACAGAGCTGGGAACGAACCAGTACCTCTCTGCTCCAATCCCGAAACTCTGAACTGTAACACCTGGGCCACCTTGCCCAGTTAATTAATTCCTTAATTAACTATTCATATGCGTTTAACTATACAATATATTCGACTATATCATCGTAAATAGAGTGTATCTGCTTCATATGTAGTTTTTACGTAAAGTATCATATCTAATGAATAATGATCACATAAATGAAATAAAATGAAAATTGTTGAATAAAGAGATGATAACGGTTTCAAATATGATGCGCCTAAAGAGAAATTTCCACTGATGTGTTTGTCTATCAGTTCGAGTACATCCATTATATTGAAATGTCCTTTGTTGAATATTATAATACTGTTGATACAATACATGAGCCAATAGGAGCAAAGAAACTGTGTAGATATTTGATTGTGTGTATACCTAAATTTATTTTTTTTTTATGTTTGATTGTATGAATACTTTTATTTGTTATGTTTTCGAGTCAAGAGCTTGTCAAATAGTTTATGCACTTGATTCAATATCAGATTGCGATTTAAATATGATTCGGTGACCATGCAAAGGATATCATATCATCACAATTGATTGAAGAGTGACACTTTTTGATGACTGAGATAGAAAAATGAACATAAACGTGAGCTGCTTTGCAAGAAAATTATATTCTGAATTAGATTGAATGAATGAGCGTTAGGTTTTATTGCATAGTTTTATTCATAATCTAACCTTTAGGAACGGGTCAGACAAAAGCCCGTGAGTGTTAGCGTGGGTTACAACGTGGGCTTAGAGTAAATGACTTGTACATAACTAAATAGAAAATGAAACTAACCGAACATAACATTCTAGTTAGGTTAGGCTAGGTTCACTTTTTATTTAGTGATTTACAAGTCATTTATTTTAAGCCGGCGCTGTAACCCACGCTAACGCTCACGCACTTTTGTCCGACCGATTCCTTTAGGATGTGTTAGACTTCGATAGAGATTTAGCATAATTTTAATTATTCCTTACTTTGCAACGTTTCATGCGTACATAATTTTCCATTTCAGATGGTAAAGTTATCAATTAGCATTGCAGACGCGCACATGTGTGTCGACGTCAATTGTTGGCTAGCAATCTGATAAATAAATCCCTGTTCTTTCAAACCTAAGTGGCATAAAATTGGATTATTCACAATAAAACTCTATGAATATACCTTTATTAGACACAGTGGGTCATAAAAAATAGATGTCTATAGTTTCAGAAGCATTTTACAGTTTCGGTATTTTCCTTTCCAGCCTAGAGAAGTTCACCGTGGCAACATCGCTAACTTGCCGCAAGGTTCTAATTGTCTCTACTCTATTGAATGTGGTAGTAAACTGTGCAACTTTCGAGGTCGTTCTCTTTTGACGAGATCATCCTCCACACGTTTGCTATCGGTATAACTCATCATAATATAATTTAAAATGCCCCCTAAATTCGATCCCAATGAAATTAAGGAAGGTGAGTTTGTTATTTATATTGTCAAACTTGAAAACGTTTGAGTACTAGGTACTCGACACTTAGTGCAATATGAATATAAATTTTTTGTTGAGTTGAGATTTCTATGCACTTCCTTATAAGCTCATATAAAAATTGTACAGTTGAGTTGGTATAATATATAAATATTTGATTTTATTACTTTTTGTAGAAGTTATCTAGCCTAGCCTTGTTACTCTGCACGCGACGTAACTCTAGCAATTGCGTAGCTAGCCTACCTACTTGAATCATTTTCAAAGCAGAGACTTTTAGACTTCCATTTCATTTTTGATTCTCATAAATAGAGCAGTAAAGTACTATCATGGTCATTTTTTTTTATTCATGGATAGGTCCCTAGCTAACAATGCTAACATTATCGTAGGCTAACTAGCCTACTCACGAAATTTGTTCAAATCTTGAGTAGATGGAATGTAAAATGAACCGATTCTATAACATCTGTTATTCCACTATACCAAAGGCACATGTGAGGCTGAGTTTCTTTCCATATCAATTTAACTAAGCCACTTCTGAAATTGATGAAATTTGCCTGTGTGTTGACTAAATTAGTCATAATTAGTGTCACCCTTCTTCTGCAACTGCATGTCCCTTCAGAAAATTCTTAACTAATCTGCATAAGGATTTCCATGTAAAAAATGAATAAGTAAGGTATTTTGCAGTTGGTAACTTATTAATTTTAAATCACTTCCCTTTAACTTCACTTCTTGTCTGTTGTCTTGTCTGCTACGAATCTTGTAATCAAAATTTAATACACTTCTACTTTCCCCATCGATATGAAATTTTGCACACTTGTGTAAGGTTGGAGACAATGCATGAATCAAATGTCAGAATAAATGATTTTAAAAAATTGGTAAAAAATTTTAGCTATTTCTGTTCAATATTAAAAAAAGTGAAAAAATAATTTTGTCAGCTAAAATCTTAAAACTGATATTTGACATACTTTTACCTGTATATTTGATCTGAAATTTTGCACACTTGTGTGAAGTCAGAGGCAAGGCATGAATCAATTAACAGAATAAATAATTTTGAAAAAATTTATATATTAAAAAATAGGTATATAGTAAAAAAATTGAAAAGTTCATTTTTTTAATATTTGAAAGAAGTGTTGTCTTTGAAAGGTAATTTTTAAACATATCATTTCAAGATAATGCTTATAACATTATAATGCCTCTAGCTTTCATGTAGTGTGAACTTACTGGACTTTATTTTTTTTAGTATATTCCAAAACTTTTGTTTGATATGTCCTAAATAACCACTTTTCTAATAAAAAAATGGACTGTGAATTCTCTAGAAGCATGAGCATCTAACCACTGAATATTGTTATGTTTACAGCCTTTCAGGCTTGTATAGGTAGTAAATTTCAATTATAAAGCAAATTAGAAATGTGCATCAATTGAAAACTGGCTACAGCAAGCCAAATGAATTAATGCATTAGTTGAGACTTAAGATCTATATGAAATATGCATTTTGTGTACTGTATTGTAGAAAATGATACATATTTTTAAAGAAAACTTTTCCCAATTTCCTGATCTGTTCAATATTTTGTTGAACATTATAGGTATGTATGTTAATGCTGTATCATATAAATATAGATAGAAAAACCAAAATTGCTCTAAAATACATATTCATATTTTGGCATTCACAACTGTCATGTGCTTGATGCTTTTTGAAATGCTAACTTTTTTTAGACAAGTTTCTACTCTACCCACACCCACTTGTCCATATTAAAGTTTGCAGAAGTGACACATAACTTGAAGCCTTGGAGGGCTGTGGTCAAGATGGCTAAAATATGAAAGGAAAGTAAAAGATCAAGATATCAGTCTTTTAACTTGGTAATATTTGGTCTCTTGAAATGGGCTAAGATCTCATCAGTTATGGATGAAAAACTGTTGGACAAGTTCTGAATGAACAAACTGGAAGTCCATAAATTGACTACCTACAAGTAAAAGTCACAAAAGCAAATATCAAGTGGCTGAGATTTAAATGCAAGTCAACCATGCGAGTCACAAAAACGTTCCTGAATTTATTTATTGACTGGATGGAATTGATCTGGTGCTAAGGGTATGGGTGGAAGTCTGGGATAGTGCATGAAGCTTCTGTCATTTATCTCCAGACTGATGGGTTGGTGAAATTGTAATATTATCCACTCTGGACTGATTGGTTGGTGAAATTGTTGTTAACCACTCCAGACTGTGATTGGTTGGTGGGATTGTAATATTGTCTTGAGCCTGTGATTGGTTTTCCAATATTCTATATGTACTAGTTAATTTAACATGCCCTCTAGAATTCCAGCCAGTCTATGGCCATGGGTGAAATCATCTTCAGGCAGTTTTATTGTCTTGGTGGTGCTGGCATGATAAAGCAGTCCTGTTTTTATGCTGTGTATGGAAGTATTTTTTTATTTCTGATGCATGTACTCACCATGTACGCAACTTCACTGCTAACCAACTTTTTTGTAACTCCTGTTATTAGACTGAGATGTGAACTGAATTGAAGCTGTTAATTTATCTATAGACTTAAAATTCAATCATGATCAGCAAAAAATCTTGTTCACCATTTGGGTTTATTAAGTAATGAATTTTATGTTCACTAGAGTTTGCTTCAAAAATTTTCATTTAAGTTTGATGCAATAAGAGTGTTTGAATAATGGTAATCAGTTGAAGACATCTGTTTAGATTCTTGCTCCTAAGTTAGCCTAACCCAAGTTAGGTGATCAAATCATTTTTTCTAAGTTTAAGTTCTGTATTAAAAATATCTAAATTGACTATATATGAATTGAAGCTTCATTTGAAATAAATTTGAGCTTAACATCTGATATGTGGAAATGATTGGTTTTGGGTGCAGATATGAATCATTAGTTAAGTACATAGAACATTAGAAACTGTTCCTACTGGCAATGTTCATATTACAATAATTAAGGCAATATTGCTGGGGGTCAATGCCATCATCCTTGAGTAACTTGTCTCTGAGTTTCATTTTTTAGCCTTCATTGTTGTGACTGAATGCCTACAATTATTTTAATTTTTAGATTCCAATTGATTCAAAGAAAAATATTTTCTCAAATTTCAGTGAAAGTACATTTATGTAAAAACATCATATCCAAGAATTTTGGTCTCCATCACCTCAAAGAACTTGGTAATAGGTTCATACAAGAGTAACATTGATTGCAGTAAAATAGAATGATGGTTCTGAATGTAGATCTAACAGTTGCATCTCTTATTTGAATAAAATTCCTTAAGAAAAGCCGAATGTGCATAAAGTAACTTTAACATGAACAGTCGAAGCTTTAGGATTAGTACTCTTTATTATGAAGACTGTTTAAAATATTGTGATAGATTTTTTCTAATTAGCTGTGTTACTATGTGTATTCATTCATTAATTTACAGTGTGCCTGAGGTGCGTTGGTGGTGAGGTTGCTGCCACGTCTACTCTCGCCCCCAAAATTGGTCCCCTTGGTCTGTCACCAAAGAAAGTTGGTGATGACATCATGAAGGCCACGGGCGACTGGAAGGGCCTGAAGGTCACAGTCAAGCTCATCATCCAGAATAGAAATGCTCGTGTTGAGGTCATCCCTTCAGCCTCATCACTGATCATCCGTGCCCTCAAGGAGCCTCCCAGGGACCGTAAGAAGGTAAGAATTTGCTATTTTTCTGTAAGGTGCAGTTAGAATGTTGCTCTGTGTCGTTTTAATTCAATATTTGATCATTGTGTTACCTATATGTTCCGTTTTCATTACTAAGTCTAGCTGTACTATAAAAGTCCTAAATTTTTCTTTCAAAAAATATAATTTGAATGGTATCGTGAATAGTACCATGTTGTATTACCAGTTCTTTCTTCATCTATAAAGTGACATTGGTGTAGAAAAAACACAAGCCCACTATATTCTATCTACTAAAATCTATATCATGATGTTTGTGACTATTTTTTTCATCATTCTATGTCAGCTTCTAATCGTTCATGTTGCATCATTCACTTGTCTTGAAATAAATTTCACTATTGTTTGGATTAACCATTTTACTCAAGATCCATTCACACAGTATGTCACACACCATTCTTGACATTAATCTATACTCGAAGCTTCTTTTGATGAAATGTAAAGAGGTTTTTTCTTAGCTTATATTATTGCTTGATGGTTGAAAGTGACCAGCTAATCAAGCCTGCGAATTTTTGAGCATATGCAGTATTGCTGCTCCCATTTGGTTAAAGTTTGTGTGGGCTTTGTGTCTTTTTCTTCAACATTCATAAGAAATAAACTTGAGTATTTTTTAGAGTAAAGATACTACATGGACGTAGTATATACGTAGACGTACGGGAATAATTTATATACCCTTTATTTGAATAAATAAGGTCCGAATTTATTAATAATAATAATAGTAAGTTATGTAAATTAATGTTCTTACAAGATCAAATTATGTGCCAAGGTGAAAAGAGACTGGCACTGAACCGTTGGGTTTGACACCAAAATACGAGATTTGGCGCTGAAAAACTGGACTTGGTAGAGAAATACAGTTCTGACATTCTTGCCCAAGACTGGATTAGTTTTAGTATCTTTCAGACACAGGATAAGCTGCAGTGTAATGTCCACGTTGCTCATAAATGTGTAATATTTGGCGTGCAGGTGAAGAACATTAAGCACAACGGTAACCTTACGCTTGACACTATCTTCGAAATTGCTCGCACCATGAGGCCGCGCTCACAAGCTGTACATTTCTCCGGCACCGTACGGGAAATTCTCGGAACTGCACAGGTGGGACCCGTTTATTATGTGCTGCTTTCTTTCTAAAAAATTGACGAATGTTTTAAAAAACATTTTCGTTATTGCGCTGGAGACGGACTTAATCTTGGTATCAAAACTGATTTTCACTGCTTCGTGGCTGGTATTACTGTATTTTATTAAACACGATCTGAAAATATAAGTATGAATTTAGGTTATACTAGCAGTTTCTATTACGGCAGTGTGTAACGCCCTAATAATTATGGTCACGGTCGATTGATTATTGTCTGACGTGTCTTTGCTCACTTCTGGCATGCCATTGTGCAGAGCGTTGGCTGCACCGTAGAGGGCCAGCCGCCTCACGACATCATCGATGGCATCAACGATGGATCCATTGAAGTGCCCGAAGAGTGAAGCGCTCTCGTGCTCTCCTCGCCATCTGCTGCACACTCCTAGTCATGCCATCCATCATTAATTGATAATATTCATTTTTATCTCGCCTCGCAACTTTTTAACATTCCTGTTTGTCTTCTGCATGTCAAGTCCGAACCACATTCCTGTTTTTTTCATCATTCCGTTGATTCTAATAACATTCCTTTTCAAATTTTTTTATTGTTCATCAGTCGGGAACAACGTTTCTCATCAAAATTTTTTCATATTATGGACGACTTAGTGAGGCTTCAGTAAACGGCGAGTGAGAGATGACTTTTACTATCCCAGCTCTTTGTAGTAAATTCAGTAGGCGGCTTGTCATTAATCAAGTTCTGGAATATTTCTGCACGGTATCAAGATCGATAATGTGAAAATCGTTCATTCTGCACCAACTTAGTACGGTTACACCGTTGAAAGACGGGAATATGGTACAGATTACTAATGCAGGGTTTGAACTTTCATGACCTATTCAACCTAATTAGCAACAGCTAAATTATTATCCAATCACGAAATGTCAATAAGTGTGAAACTACGTCAGCAGTGCACTACGCATCAACACATGATGCTTCACCCTAATGTTTTCGAAATCAATTCGGTCAAAAACCTGGAAAAATTCTTGATATGTAAAGAAATTGACAAACCAGATTCGACGAATTCATATGAAATTGAAAGCACACACGAGGACCGAATAGTTTTAATATCTCAGCGTGGCGTATTGACGGAATCTAATGGAATTATTTCAAGAATAAAGTTCATTTTACCAAGTTAATGTGATATTTACAGAGATGAAACGACCGGTGACGTCAAGGGCACAATACCATGTTCCTTGAAGAGCCTGCTAATTTCGATCATGTAGGAGAATAAAATGCCAAATGTAGAATTTTTTTTATCGTTGTCGCACTGGACTCAAGCATGGTCAAATATTAAATCGTCTTCAGCAACACCATTCTTTTTGTACTGCTTCATTTTCTTATGATCTAACCTACTTAACCACTTTGGCAAAGTGCCTCGCTTGTACTTCAACTTCCATAGCTTCCTTTCAACAACTCCGTCCAAATCCGTGGCTCTTTCCTTGGCCTCTGGAGTTCGTTTGTCCAGGCACCTGCTGACCTCCTGAAACTCAGTGTCAGAGTCTGATAAAACGTCGTTGTCGTCAGAGTCGCCATCTATATTATCGTAGAATTTTTCGTAGTCGCGGCGTTTGGGAATATATTCCTTCCTGATGATCTCCTGTGTCTCGTAGTGTCTCGGCCCACTTCGCATGGACCGAACGTGATCTGAGATCATGCGTCAAGATTATAAACACAAATGCATTGAAAATCAACACGTATTAAATATATATGTAAATAAATGCTTCACCAATTATCAAAAACAATCTAGCCACATTTCTGAGTAATTATGGGATGAATCCTCCACCAGCTTTGGGTAAATTAATGAAATTTTGGATGGAAGGCAACAAATTCCCAATTCATACAGAATTGATAGCAATGATAGGTTGTGTGACCAATGTAACAAACATGTTGAAGCTGCACGTGTGATGTATCTCAGCAAAGAAGGAAAAAAGTCTGAAAATGCTAATCTTTCTTCCTATTCTAACATCTAATTTCCATAAATATGTATAAACACCTAACATTATGACAACAGTATTCGTAGAAGTATAAAGCTTCTTAAAATACAAAGCAGTTCTAAATATCAAAGGATTAACAGGTAAAAAATATTAACAATTAATCACATTCTAAGACAAAAATAGAGCAAAATAAATGCACTTAAAATCTTCCTGTCCTAAATACTCACTGTATCTAACCAACTGCTTTCTGCTACGAGGTGGTCCAGTCGGCACTGTAAATATGAAAAGCTTATTAATAACAAATAACCTATCATTCTGAAACTTGGTTAGTAGAAGGAATGCTGATCAAGCTCAATATTCATTATTGAATGAAGTAATTCACAAATATCCCCAAACATTAATAAACTAGAATTGGTAAACAATTCAAATAAATTAGAAGATGTTTCTGCAGTTTTAATGAGGCTCAATGAGAACTATTGCAGGCAGATGGATCATGGAACCAATCATAATACACATTACACAATACAATCAAATATAAATGAATAATTATGATGATGTCCCAATAATGTACCTACATTATATAAACCAAGAGAATGACCAAATTTGAGTATGAAACCCCTTTCTAAAAAAAAAAAAAAACTCAAAACCAACCTTCCTCCTCTGCTTCCAGCTTTTCTTGTGCTTCTCGTGCAAGAGCAGCTTCAGCAAGTCTTCTTAGGCGGGCTCGTTCTCTGGGTTCTCTGTCATTCTTGCGCTTTTCCCGACGCTTGGTACGCTCTTTCTTGCTTCTTAAACTTTTGGCCATTACTGTTTGTTGATTATTACTGAATGTCTACCTGAAATGAAAGATAAATTAGTGACTGTCAATCACATTAATATCATTGTAATAACAGTACACAAATAGAGGATAAATTAAACATTCTGTGCTGCATAACATTTTACTGTACCTAGTTCATTGATAATTTTGTAGGGTACTTTGTTTGGATGGGTTATGTGTTTGCAATGCTGTACCATATGAATGAAGATCACAAGCAAATTTTATTCATTTTCCCCATTATTTCTAAAATTTAAAAATACATTAACATGTGATAAATTGCCTCTAAAAATAAAATAATTGGCTCAGCAAGAAAAAAAAAATATTCTGATTGATATTTAGAAATTGTGATTCTGGAGAAAATCAGAGATTGAGCATATGATGAGCAGGTGACTTTGCGAATGAGTTTACAGCTCAAAAATGTACTTCCACTGCTTGGCTTACGGATTCAATGAACTTTGGCTAAAAATTGAACAATTTAATAGCACTAAAACTTCAGTCAAGAGTTGGAGAGTTCATGTTTCTCAAACCAGCATTAAATGTTTTTATTGACAAGTGGCAAATTAAGAGCAGTCTATACAATGGCAATAACTCATATTATAAACAGTAGGTATGTTCAAAAAACAGGCACAGATCAGCGAGATCACAACAAAGTATAAAAATGGTAAACCAAAAAATTTTGCATTTATTGAACAGTAATAACTAATTTTTCTCCTTGTATCCATGCTTAACCGATAGTTTAATTCAAGAAACGCATGTCGAGAAACAAAGAAACCACTAATTATATACTGTCAAACAGGGTTAATACGGGGCAGTTTTGAGCATTTTTCTTTAATAATTTCTTACCATGAAACATTTCATAAACGAGTTTGGGCTCATTTTAAAGGTATATATGAGGGCTATCGTATGGCATCTCTAAAAAATTCCATATGCTATTCGTAAGGTGCCAGAAGCATAATAAAAGCCTCCTGAACTAAGCCTGGGAATGGGGTAATAAGGGACACTTGGAATAAAACTTAATTTTAAAACGTTTGAAGCAAGCGGAGTGTGCTCATTTACTACTAAAAGTACTCTGAAGCCTTCCTCTTCATTTGTAGATGATGTAGATGTAGAATAAATGACATTTTCTGTGATTTTTACTTGTTTTTCCTTTATTGATATGATATTAACTTATCCATACATTACTGTTTTATTGATGTGATATTACCTAATCCAATTAAATGCCGTTGAGCATTGACAACAACCTTGTCCACTGCAAGCTTCATATCAGCAGCCATATAGCATTTCTTCTGTATCTGTAAGCTTACAAGAGGGTTTGTAATTTCACACCATTTTAATTGAGTCAAGTGAATTCATTATAACAAAAAAAAAAAAAAGATTGTAAAAAACATACATGAAACGAAGGAATATTTCAGTGAAAGGCATGATATTTTTTAGAGACAAATCATAGTTTAGGTTGATTACTTTTCATTTAATGTTGCCCAGTGAACAATTCTATCTAGGACATTCAATGCACAGTTTTGCAATGACTGATGATGCATTAATATTTTGTTAAGTGCAATATTTTTCATTGAGCAGGGTAAATGTAATCAAAATTCTTTGTTGTTAATTGATTTTTTTTGTTAACTGGCGCCTTTGCTAACCAAGGTTCTACTGTAAATGTGTTTTTAGGGGTGTCCTTTATTACCCTGGGGGTGTCGCTTATTACCCCACTTTGCGGAAATGGCCGCCATTTTTTTTAACGAGCTACACAAATTCTGTCAATCACGTTTTTAAGCCAACACCTGTGAGCAACTTTTATTTAAGTAAAATTTTTTAATACGGCAAATATATTTTTTTTGCTACAGACCTTAGCAGAGGTACTTTTCCAAAATCCCCCTTTTCAGGAAGGATTTTATAGAGGTACTAAATATATCATTTTTTAACTTGCTTTTTGCTACATAGATAGGAAAAATGTTGAATTTTATGCCACTATTTTTTGTTTTGCAATATTTTAATTAGTTTAGCTGCTACAACATTTCTATGAAATGTTGGAGGACCGTCCCTTATTACCCTGCTTGACAGTACATGCTATCTTGTTTATCAAGAAGTTTAATTTGTTTCTATACTACATGCTGGACTGCATTTTGCAAGTTTTGTAACAGAGTATATGAAAAAAAGTTATGCCAAACTCTTATTGGTAGTGTGATTTGTTATCAATTCATGAATGTTAATTTGTGGTGTTTGACTAAGAGATAAATTGCTAATCTAATTAACTTGCAATAAGACTAATTGAAATCATTAAGTGTTGCAAGTTCATGGGTGATGCTTGATATCTCAAGCTTAATATCTCAATATTTTATCACATTTTTCTTGGCTTCCTTTCATGTCTGTCTGTCTGTCATCAAGAGTTCAGACCTTAATTTAGAGCTCTTCTGAACATCCTAGAAACTTGAAATTTGGCATGCATGCTTATGCTGCCTACAATTCAAGATTTGTTCATCAGAAATAATGATTAAAAAAATTTTTTTGAAAAAAACCTAAAAAAACATTAAAAATTCACAGTTCGGCATTGCGTTTTTTCTCAAACATCCACACTTGCCAACCCTGGAAATTGGTTTGAATTGCTAAAATTGCTAAGTAAAAAGTAGAAAATAAATATGTACCTATAAAAAAATATTTTTAAAAACCACATTTTTCTGGTTTCTATAAAACTAATAATAGTTAAATAAAACAAATAAAAAACTTAAAAAAAACATGTTTTCTTAATGGACAAAAAAGAAAAATATTTACTTCTAGCTACATAACATTCAAGTTATGTAAAATGTTTCTATCTATGACATTCAATGCACAGTTTTGCAATGACTGATGATGCATTAATATTTTGTTAAGTGCAATATTTTTCAGGTAGGGTAAACGTGGTATATTCCAACATCGTGAGTAATTCCGACACTTCTCGACTTTTTTTCTTTATATTAAGCTTTTTCTTAGTTCCATGCATTCGTTGATGGTTGAAATAGTGACGTCATACTATTGCGTGACGTACTATTGCCACAACACTAGGTCTGGGCCGTCTGGCGGGATAATGTTGAGATCCAAAGAGAGACAGTGCATGACACCCAGTGAGAACATTCAAAAATGTGTCAAAGTTGATAGTTGACCTTGCTCTACCAAATATTGATAAACTGTTTGTGTAGAAAGAATATTATGGTTTGAGACTTTTAAATACGCCTGTGAATATATTAGAAATCCTTTATGTATACTTGTATTTGCTGATTTCAAGTGGTAAATAAATTAATAGATGATTAAGTTGAGAAATGGATTTAGACACATGAAAACTAATTCCATCACAACTTGAATTAGACACACACAGCTCGTTCCAAGCTGTGTGCAAAAATTAAAAAAAATTTTCAATTAAAGGCTTAATAGCTCTTAATTAAAAGCCTAATTAAGAAGTGTTTAATATTCAATAGTGTTCTAATTCCAAGCAGTGTCGTATTCCAATACAGCTCACACAGCGATCGGAATTTGAACACAAGAGTGTCGGCATTACGAATTAGTAGAGCTTGAAGCGTGGCAGGAATTAGTCTCACACCAGAGAGGAATTCTGTATAGGTAATATATTCTCATGTCAATATAAGAAAACTTATCGAAAAATCAACCCTACCACCGCGTTATACCACCTTCCACTGCAATGAAAATTTATAAACTGAGCTCATTAGAAACTGTCGTGCTTCCAAAATCGCGCGTGGTTTGAAATCCAATCCCGTGTTGCCAACGCCTAATCAAGTTAACTACTTTATCAGTAGGCTAGCGGACACATTTTTGCAATGAATATGTTCTAAAATAAAAAAAAAACACATCCACATTCGTGAAAAATTTGCACAATTGGCCAACACCAACAAAGTTTTTGATATCACACAAAATTATGAGATAAACTGCTACTCTTTCACTGCGTACATTCACATGGTGCTTTCTATGTTTATGTATTACAAGACGGTGTCACACACACTTATGTTTTGGTTGTGTCTAGTTTGATTTCACAATAAATAGATTTGATTCACATCCCATTCTGAGATTTAAATGATTGAAAGTTTTTTTAAATTATAAAAACCCATTTATACGTTCCAGATTAGAATATTTTCCATTTTTTGCCCTATTATGTTGAATATATCTTAATAAATTCACTTCAAATTCTGAATGATTTCGTCTGCCATCCCGCGTTTTTGAACGTTTTGAGTCTTTTAGAAAATGTTTGTTGTTTAACATGGGAAACTATTTCATTATATAAAACATAGAGCACGTACCATATAGTGCATTAATAATACAATTTAATTTAATAAAAATTAATTTTTAATTTAAAAAATATAATCTGATTTTTAATTCAACATTTTTCTAATAGAATTTAATTCTACAGCATGTACCATCTAGTGTATTAAATAATAAAATTTGATTGAGTAAAATTTAATTTTAATTAATTTTTTAATTTGATTTAATTCTACAGCTTCATCTGGTAACAATGAGCATCATAGGAATGAAAGTAAAACTGTCATTCATACATCACAAATTGAATGACATTGGATGGATTTGATAGGTATTTTATTAATCCTGTTTATATATAAGAACGGAAATGATGCTTCTATTTCAGAATGATAATGGAAATGTTCCTACTATTTCAGAAACTTTTCTTGAATACACTTCCGAAAACTAAAGTTCTGTAATCAATGGAGTCTTTGAAATGACAAAATCGTTCAATTTAAAATTTTTAGCTATAAGAGTGAGATCGTCATTTGTCAATATGAGCATTCATTCATCATTTGTGAGGAGCTGTAAGAAAAAATTTGTTGTTTTTGATGTAAAAGAATGTTTTTCAATTAAAAGAAATGCAATACTTGATTTTTGGAAATACGATGCTAAAATTAACGATCCATATTAGAATTCAATAGACATTACGATTTCAGAATTATCTTCAAAAAAGTTTGTTTTGGTTCGTTTGATCAGAAGTTTTCGTTCGTTTGATCAGGACAGAAAAAGTTTTTGTTCGTTTGATCAGAAACAACATAATTATTCATTTTCTTGCACTAAGTATACGAATGATTAGTTGGCCTCTGTTACCATCTGCATTGATCATCCTGCTAGATTATGCACCGGAAGCAGGAAAGAAGCTAGGTACCTATTTAATTCAGTAGCACGTTAGCTGACGTGATATGCAGTTCTGCTCGTCTGAACTCTGAATTGCGTTGAAGAGGGCCACAGAACATTAGTTATAGCACGTAGTAGAATCATTCATTTACAATTGTACCTTAATGTATGTCATGTTTTATGTCATTATGTTTTGTGTGTCATGTGCATCTTATTAATCTTGTATCTTGTTCCCCTTGGTGTAATATTTCAGCAGAGTAAAAGTTAATGAGACAAGATTCGTGCAAGTCCATATGTTATGCACTTTTGATTACCAGTCTGCACCCCCTGATTGCTGAATTGTAAATTCACTGGTTGCACCTGATTATTTTCTGACCTTCAAAAGCCTGCTTAAAATGCCTCAATGCATGATTTGATCTTCATCTCTGCTTGCTAATCCCATCCTGATGCTCCATTTTGGTGAGTACAGTGCATTTCAGCTCATTAAAATGTTGCCATGCTTATATTTGTCATTACTGAGCTCTTAACAAATGTTTTCCAGTTATTCATGCCTGCTTATAAAGAATGATGGATGGTTTTCACTGGTTCTCATGTTAATCCTGTCCTTTTATTGCACAATTTTCAGTTTGCTTACTTGAACCATGTTGTGTCACCCTTGAATAACTTACTTTCTGCAACCTCTTCCATGCATTGATGACTTTGTGTGTGACAAAACAGTTTAAACATCCTCCTGATGTCAATATTTCTAGAAGGCTAGTTCTTATGAACGCATTTATTTGACGTTTAGGAGCGGTTGGTGTTGTTGTAGGGGGAGCTATATTGCTTTTTAGCCCAACCCTTTGGCTTTCATGCTCGTTTATTTAATGTCTGTGCTGTGTTTTTCTCATTATGTAATTTTTCTGTTTTTCTTCTCTAGTAGACAAGGAAGTAAAATCATTAATGTAAAGTAAATTCCAAAACTAAGGCATAATCCTAATGCAAAATTCCAATGAATAACTAATAACTGCACCAGTATGGGAACCTAAGCTTACTCACCACTTGAGAGGAAGTGAGTGATTATTTATTGCATATATTCATTTTATTACTCAACAATTAATGTTGTATTACAAATTGTTTATACTTTGTGATTTTGCTTTGTTTCTTGTTTTCTATTAATTGTGTTCAGTGTGTTTTAATTCTGCAAGCTATATATTTTGGTGTTCATTAATTCTTCATTAAGCTGTTTGCTGCAATATAAGTTCTGTCTCTTATACACATCTAGATGTGTATAAGAGACAGTTTCTGTAGTGTCACTGAATTGCAATAGCCTTTATGCCCGGTTAACAGAAGTCAAATTACTCCTCTATAGCCTGAAACCAAGTCTCATGTGCCTCACTGAGACTTGGGTGAAGGATGCCTACCTACCAACATTTTATGGCTATCACTGCTTGTGGCGCAACAGAGTAGCACATGGTGGAGGTGGTGTTTGTATTTTGATCCATCAATCTCTGTGCTACCAAGAAGTTAAGCTGAACGCATTTAGAGGAGGTGTCTTAGAGGNGGAATGGAGTTTTTATACAATAATACCCTTATATCTTATAAAAAAATTAATAATCACGAGTAGCAGGAAAAAGAATACTCCAAATAAAATACATTTTAAGCATTTAAAACATAAACGGCTTGTAAAATATTCATGATTTTATACTGTGAATGGCTACCTGAATTACGAGTGAGGGATGGCATTAATGGATGAATGTTCTGCAGTTATCGATTTTAATATTATTTTTATTAAATTTAAAGTTAGTTAACTGAGGTATATAATGTATTCCAACACTTTTACAGAAAAGTTTATATACAATGAAAATGTAACAAATAACGGGTTGTGAGAGTGGGATATTGTGGGAATTTCATAACTCATCGCAATAATTAAGCATATTCCAATAATGAGAATGTTTTAGTTAGATTGTTGTAAATCATGAAACCAATGGACCTGGATTTTCTTGATTGTAACGAAACGCACCAGATAAATGCTCTGCGGGGGTGAAACTTGCAAACAGAAAACTGCAAATAGATGTGTATAAGAGACAGGTATTAGGCCTTTAATGCCCATTGACAAAATTTTTCTATGTCAAATAGTTTTTGAGTTTTGGGGGTTTTTGTTAAAAAAAACGAAAAGTGGTCTAAGTTACCCCGCCAGTCTAAGTTACCCCATTTTACGGTACTGTGTTTACCCTACAAGCCTACATAACATTTTACATAACTTAAATGTTATGCAAGAGTAATTTTTCTTTTTTGTCCGTTAAGAAAACGTGGTTTTCAAAGGTTTTTTTCATTTGTTTTATTTCACTACTTTTAGTTTTGTAAAAACCAGAAAAACATGGTTTTTAAAAATATTTTTTAGCTATAGGATCCAATATTGATCTAGCAGACTAGCACTATGACTAGGCTATGACAAATTTCAGAGTTCAGACTAAATATGTATACCTACTTCAGACAGTGAATGTTAGGGTAAACGCGGTAGTTATATTCCGACACATTAAGGACGCATCGAGAAATGAAAAACTATAAAAAATAACCGTATGCATTACTTGAGTACTGTTTGCTTTACATGACTCTCAAAACACCGCACTACGCGCCAGCAATGATGAAACGTCACAAAGTGTTGCCATATTTATTTAAAAGCCTTTAGAATGCAAACCTACCAAATCCCTATATTCCCACACTGTGTGTGAATAAATTTGGCACGTGGTGAGACCTATTCTGGCTGCGCTTCAAATTCTACTAGGGTAAACGCGGTATATTCCAACATCGTAGGTAATTCCGTCACCTCTCCAGCTTTTCTTTTATATTAAGCTTTGTTTTAGTTCCATGCGTTTGTAACAAACGCATGTGTGGAATTCTAGAGGGATATTAAATTAACCAGTGCACATAGCATATTGGAAAGCAGGACCTGAAAGGTTGGAAAGTCCAGGAACTTTCCACTTCCAGTCCATTTTATTATATACATTATACATATCCTGTCTCTTATACACATCTAGATGTGTATAAGAGACAGCCTGTTGCCCATCCNAGTGGCAAAGCAGTGATTTTTTAGAATCAGTTCATTTTTAATTTCCATATTTACTCAAGATTTTAACAGATTTCTTATGTATGATAATGCTGGTATCCAGGATACTTTACTGGTCTACTTATAAGACTCAAAAATGAACTTGAGGGAGAGTCTAAAAAACTCTCTGCTTTGCCAGTGTTGCCACTATGCTCACGCGTAGTGAAGTGTTTTGAGAGTCATGTGAAGGCAACAGAACTTACATAACGCATACATTTTTTTATAGTTTTTCATTTCTCAATGCGTCCTTAATGTGTCGGAATATACTGCGTTTACCCTAATACGTAATTCCAACATCCACGTGTTCGAATTCCGATTGCTGTGTGAGCTGTATTGGAATACGACAGGGCTTTGAATTAGAACACTATTGAATATTGAGCACTACTTAATAAGGCTTTTAATGAACAGCTATTAAGCTTTTAATTAAGAAAATTTTAATTTTTGCACACAGCTTGGAATGAGCTGTCTGTGTCCAATTCAAGTTGTGTTGGAATTTGTTTTCATGTGTCTAAATCCATTTCTCAACTTAATCATCTATTAATTTATTTGCCACTTGAAATCAGAAAATACAAGTAGGCTATACTTAAAGGATACCTAATATATTCACAGAAGTATTTAAAAGTCTCAAACCATAATATTCTTTCTACACAAACAGTTTATCACTATTTGGTAGAGCAAGATCAACTGTCAACTTTGACACATTTTTCGATGATCTCACTGCCGACACTGCATGGCGATGATGGCGTCTCCCATGCATTGTCTCTCTTTTTATCTCAACATTTTCCCGCCAGACGGCCCAGACCTAGTGTTTTGGCAATAGTTTGGCACACAAAGGTATGACGTCATTGTTTCAAACATCAACAAATGCATGAAACTAAGACAAAGCTTAATATGAAAGAAAAACTAGAGAGGTGTCAGAATTACCCACAATGTCGGAATATACCACGTTTGCCCTATTTCAACTAAAATTAATGATGAGACAAAGAAAAAACTCAAGAAAATTGAAAATCATTCAGTCCTGAATCCTGATTCTTGAATGATTAGTATCATAGTATGTAGGCTTAGTATGTACATTGTACAGTTTACACAGCAGGACCAGGTCCTGCTGTGTAAGGATTCAACCTGTGTGAGCAGGTTGTGGGATTCAACCTGTGTGAGCAGGTTGAATCCCAAATTTTAATTGACAACACTATTTGATCAGTATCAGCACAGTATGCCTAAAAAAAAATGACATTAAATGTTTAGAATTGAAGTTACTCAGCGTAGTCAGCGTTAAATTTCATGTACAAGTTTACTGTACCTAGTATAACATTAGAGATACATTACGAATGATCACACAGCTCAGCCTGGACTCTGTGGACGGCAATCACGGCATCGCCATAAAAATGGCTAAACTAGAAAATCGACAATAATTTTAGCAATAACTCACTAGTATGTAAATTATTCCGGAGCCCCGACTTCTCTCTTCGACAGCTTTGGCAATTACTAAACTAAAAAACACGACCTGAACAATTCATCATTCATGCGCAATGTGGCAATTGTAGTTTAGGTGATATCTAGGCAGGCCACTAACTTTTGTTACTGACCGGTGAATTCCATGCATACTAAATACGCGGCATATTGAATAATGTAGAAAATATTGATATATCTTATCTGTTATGAATATGTAAGAAAAGTTTATCAATAATACAATGGGACATAATGCTTATTGAAAACTTAACTCAAGGCTTATTGCAAAATTGACTCATGCCTAAATTCTAAACAAAAATGACAATTTTGTGTTTAGTGTAGTTTTAGGAAACTTCTGTTTTGCAGATGCAGAAGACTCCTGCGATCTAACAATGTGAAAAAATTCTTTTTGCAAATGGCCATTGATTATAAATGATTGTAGTACACAATTCCCAAATAGCTACACAGTTCCGAATTTAAATAAGAGCATTTGAGAACTGGTATTCGTGTTCACGGTCGTTTACTATATACTCCTATACGTTTACTATATACTCCATTACTATATACTCCTATATATTTACTATATACGCCAGCAGAGACATAAATAATTAAATATGAACCTCATAATTTATATATAAACGCTATAACATTGAATAATAAAGCCATCAGAATCTGTTTTGCTGCCTTGAAGTCAGTAAGCCAGGTTTACGAACCATGGATGGTCGGGATTTCTTCTACATGCAAATAAGATATTTTGTTTTGTTACGTATCGCACCCATTACTGATTGGCTGCTTAGGGTGTGGTGAACAAGCAGTTGAGATCGAGTATTCGTGATGCCTGTTCTGAAGTGTCGGACGAGGATCTTTGTGAAAAGCCCCTAGAACCCATGTTGCCAAATGTCTGTCTGTTCAGTTTTATTCTTGTAGGTGTTAACTAATTTTCTTACAATTAGTAATTCTGCTCAGTGCCACGACTTTTGTCTTTCTTTAATTCTCATTACGGTCATAAAATCCAAGCTGAGAATAACGCACCCATAATCTAGGCTTTGCATCCATCATGAATGAAGCGATTGATTGCTTCGAGCCGTTACAATCCTAAAGCTTCTATACAGAGGCTTCATCAGCGATACACTACTATCTAAAATTTACAAATTAATTTTCTATTATTTTCTGTCTCGAGGGAATCAATTTTGAGAACACCAACTCAACCGAGGTGAAGTTTGAGTTGCTGAAGTGGGTTGTAGAACGAGGTCGGTGTTCGGAACTTTGAGTTAGAAAAAGAAGTCGGTGTTCTCAAACACCAAGTTGGCTAGCGGAGTCGGAGCTCCCAAGCTTTGATAACACCAACTTTGTTTTTTAAATACCGAAAGCCTTCATGAGATTTTGTCGCTACAGCCACCGCTTCTTTCTTCAGCGAAGCAGCGGCTCTGAAGAGGCCGCAGCCTCCATGTAGGCGCTCGTCTCATTGGACGCTGAAGTCCCATAGAACGCGAAACGGAGAAAAGTTATCTATTTTCGAACAAATTCATAACACAACAAAGTGATGTCGGCGCTGAAGAGTAGGCCTGATAAAATTCCATTGAATAAATAATTAAAGGTCTGTAAATTTTATCCGAGAGCAGAGAAAACGAGTCACGGGAGCTTGGCTGGTGTGAATTTAATGATGCCATCAGGCAGTGGGAGATGCAATCGCCCCTGAAAATTTATACGTATCACATGGCAAGTCTCAATTCAGTTTTCGTCTCATCGAAAACTTGTCCGTCATTTATTTAAAAATAGAACACAACGATAATGCTATCATAGGAGCACGAACAAGCTTGCTTATGAAATAATGTATTCAATATTCTGTATAGCTTTGTATAAAATTCAGTCTACTGGGAACAACTATTATCACACAAATTAGAGTTGCTATGTGTACACGACAAAAACGCATCGTACGTGCTTAAATACGCCTACATATGACGTATAGAGTGAGTACGTTGTTAGTCCTGCCATCACATAGTGCGTATTTCACCCAGCTACCGTACTATAATGAAATAATTATTACATTATAATATAATTTCAGGTTGGTTCTCATAAAAATTTGACATACGCACTAAATTTTCAGTAGGATCGACTACGTATATCATATGATACAGTGCATATCACAGAAACGGAAAGTATTTTCATTTGTGGGAACCATTCATATTTGTAAGATAGATTTTTAAACTTTACCAATTTTATTGATTACTTCTTACTACCACATGTTTTCTATATTTCAAAATTTTTTGGAATGATTCAAAATTCATAACTGTATGATTGGTGAGAAGTATTTTGCATACTAATTATGAATGAGTAACAAAACTAAGTTGTCAAGCCAGTGTTCAGATGAAAAATAAATTCTCGTTGATTTATGGAATTGAGTTTTTAAACAATAAGATCTTTAAGTCTTTTAAATAATTAAATTATCGCGAGTAGCTTGAAAGAGGATACTCAAAATAAAATAAATTTCAAGCATCTCAAACATCGACGGCTTGTAAAACATTAATGATTTTATCCTGTGGCAACCTGAATTACGACTGCGGGATGGCATTAATAAATGAATGCTTTGCAGTAATCAATTTTAATATTACTTTTGTTTTTAATTTAAAGGTAATTAACTGAGTTATATTATGTGAATTACCTTTGGTACTAATTCATTCCAACTCTTTTACAGAGATGTTGATATGCAATGAAAATGTAACAACTAACGGGTCTTGCGAGTGGGACATTTTTTAAATTTTATAAATAATCATATTAATTAGATATATTTTAGAAATGAGAATGCTTTAATTAGATTGTAGCAGATCATGAAACCAATGGAGTGAATGGACCAGGATTTTTTTTATTGGAACGAAATGCACCGGATAATTTCTCTGTGGGGGGATACATGCAAACTGAAAAGAGCAAATATCGCTATTGCTCAGCGGCACACATTAAGTCGTAGTAAATCATTAAAGGAGAATAAGAATTAAAGCTAAATGTTCAAATGTGTAGCCGTACGTACAGGTGATAGCGTTTAAATTTTTAGTTCAGTCCCTCCAAATATCATTACAGAACAGTATTCAAGAGTAACTGAAGTAAAAAGTATCACCAGCCCTTTTATTACATTTCAGCAGCAGTAGTTTTCAGAAAAAAATGTAAAAATTCTACGCCCCAATGAGGTTTACACGTGTTTCACTTGTTTGTTTAGGTTTTATTTCAGCCACAACTGATCGAAGGTTGTGTTTGTGCCAATTTCGTGCTAAGTTACAGAAAAAACGTCGCGGAAAATCTTTTATGACAGACAGTATATCAATACAGTATGAATTTCAAGCTAACTCAAGCTCCTACGGTGCCGTTAAAAAATAATGTAATACTAACCGATTAATCCGAGGAGAAAACGAAAGTAGAGACACGTTCTATGTTTTGACCAGAGGTCAATTCACAGTTTTCGGTCTTTTCTCGGATCGAGAGATGTAATTAAATCTGTTGCATTTGATATTAGGTATGTGATATAAAGTGTATAATTTGATTAAGGTATATAAAGTACATAAAGTAAGTATTCAGAGAATGGGATAGACGAAACAAAGTTTAAAGAAGGTATCAGTACTTATATATAAGGTTGACAACTGATGAAGAAAGTTTAGCGGAAACACCCAGGAATCTATAACAACAATTGTACTCACGACCGTCTATTTTCGACTCGATCGACAATTCTACGGACACCGATTCGACACTTCAGCGAACTCGGGTGCGAACTGGCCTGCGAACTCGAATGCAAAACCTAACTTCATTTCAACTGTGGCACTCATAAATCCTTCAATTATGAATGGATTTTATTTAAATTTGAAATATAAGTAGATAATATCAGTATTTTGCGGGGGGAATTTTTTCATCTCCTTATCGAACCCGGTGGAAGTCTAGTAGCTACTTCAAACTATCGTCAGTCATGAAAAGATCCGGTCAAATGACACGAGTTTAGATCTATGAACAAGGCACGAAAAGGAAAAGAATCGGCGACAGGCCACATCAGTGGCCTACACTTCAGCGCCGACATCACTATGTTATGTTATTTGATATTAGGTATGTGATATGAAGTGTATAATTTGATTAAGGTATATAAAATACGTAAAGTAAGTATTCAGAGAATGGGATAGACGAAACAAAGTTTAAAAAAGGTATCAGTACTTATATATAAGGTTGACAACTGATGAAGAAAGTTTAGCGGAAACACCCAGGAATCTATAATAATTGTACTCACGGCCGTCTATTTTCGTGCGTATCTTTCATCAACGAATCGCGACTCCCACTTGAGGGGACCGGCTACCCACCAGAAAAACTTCTGGAGTTAGTATGCGATCATCATGAAACTTCGTATACATACGTAAAATGTAAAAAAATAACATTTTGCTCGTATAAAATTTGCGAAAAAATTGATAGAAAACGTGAAAAACGAGAAAACGCTAAATACGGGTACTTTAGAAAAATATGTCTCCTCCTACAAAAATCATCCTACAACATCGAGACACGTATCATTCGATTCGTAAAGACCCTACCTATCGACTTGGTGATAATTTTTCTCATATTCCCCATAGCTTTTTTATGCGCGTTTTTCCCATTTTTCTCATTTTTCCCCCTCCCCCCCCTTCTCCCCCATATATAAGACGAACCATACACAAATTCAAAAAAAATGATTGCCAAGTCGATAGGTATGGTTTTTACCAATCGAATGGTATATATCTCATTGCTGTAGCTTGAAAACTGTAGGAGATAGGTTTGCCGTGAGAGACGTTTTCAGGTTTCCCAACTTTTCAGTAGAGGCGATAAACCGATGCGCGCTATGTGAAGGCATGCAACGTAGCTTTTTTAAGATACCGAAGGTAAGCGTTATCTCACTTGAGAGTCAGTCAGCGATGCATAGAACGACTGCATGAACACCTTTCTACAAGATAGCTGGGAGGTAACTGAGCTGCAGGTGACGGTAGGTCCACTGAGAGCACATTTATAATGCCAGGCCGGAATTAATTCCCATAGAGTTTTGTTAAGGGACTCCACCTCCCTCCTCCCTTATGGGATCTGTCGAGAACGCATA